AAATCTTTTATTATCATATTTTTATGCATACAAAAAGAAAGTCAAGTGTATGTATTCAAAAGATAGATGGCTAGACAAGTTCAAAGATGGGCTCACAAAAAGGATTGATCACCTCTTTATGAGAATCATGATAGAATATATCTAATGCTTTTTATGGTTTTTCATAAAAGATCGTTTTCTATAAGGACGAAATATATAGACATTCAGCGAGGTGTGTTCAAATCACGTAAAATGTATTTCAACGAGCATGAAAATATATTTCTTACATTCATATATGATTACACTTACTAAACTTTAGCTATAGTTTATCTTGTGGTGTATAGGTAAGCTAATGATGTGTGAAGGCATGATGTGATGTTGAGGATGTTGTCGGGAGCGAGCTAAGTTTGCCAAAGTGTGTACTATATGTATAGGTTTAGAATTTAAAGGCTAAACAATATCTATTTTTCCTAAACTCGTGATTACATTTTGGTAAGTTAATATATAAACATGATGTGAGGTAATAAAACGAGTTAATATTTTGTCAAATGGAATTGCTTTTTAATGCGTTAAACTAAAAGTGACCTTGAACTTTAAACCTAGATAATTTTGTTGTGTATTACAAGAGATAGAAGACATAGGGCTTAGTGTCTTGTATCCTACGAGTGTAAGGCATTGTTGGTAACACTCTTAGGCTCTTTTAGGCCAAGGGTGTTACAAATTTGCATTCTTATATGTTTATTTTCTTTAGTCAATTAGAGTGATATTTACTTTAAGAAAGATGAATAACTTTAGATGAGTAAGATACCTCCACAACAACAAAAAATGTTATTTTCTTAGATCACGCAAGGAAAAGTCCTTGCTTAGAGATAAGCCAATAGACTCAATAAGAGTTGAATTAGTTTTTGTAAGAACCAAGTCATCAACATGAATTAACAAATAGATTCAATACATGTCTCACTAAAAAATGAAATTAGATGATTCTGTTTGTGATCTCTTAAAGTCTTAAGATAATAAAAAAGCGAATAACATGTGAAACTAAGCTTTAGGAGCCTATTTGAGGCTATAATGAGTCTTGTTTAGTTTGCATACATGATGTGAAGGATCTTTGCTGACAAAACCATATAGTTTCTTCATGTAAATTGTCTCTTATAGATGATAATTAAGAAAAACATTTGAGATATAAAACTATCGAGAGGTCTAATTGTTAGTTGTGGCTAAGGAAAACACTATTTAAATTATAGTAGTTTTGACAACTAGACTAAAAGTATCAATGCAATTTACTCCATGTTCTTCGGTGTATCCCTTGGCAATCAAGTGAGCTTTAAATCTTTAAACCGAACTATCAGCCTATTGTTTGATGCAAAACACCTATTTGTTGCCATTAATATTAGTAGTTGGGTGAGGTTATACTAATGTCTAGTGTCATTATTTACCGGGATTGTAATATCGGCATGTATTGCATTTTTCCTTGCTTTGAACTTGCTAGCCTAAGCATATTAGGTAGTTTCAACATCAGAACATGTGTGAATAATGGTCGAATGAGCTTAGTTGATCTTGGCCATTGTTGATGGGTGCAAAGTGAGAGAGTGTATGTGTTTAGGCTATTGAGTAGAAAGGGATGAAACTAGTAAAATTTTAGTAACAACCACCCATAAATTGATATTGTTTAGAATACAATGATGTTGATGTTCTTGGACATTTTGAGCATGAACATTAACAATAAGAGGACAATAATTTTATTGTTGGACAAGTTCAATAATAACATTGATAATTAGAGGATAGTGAAACTATTATTGGATTGATGTTGGAACAATTATAAGAATGGTTGGAATGGCATGCTTAGAAGATGGTGATGTCAAAGCAAAAAAAAAAAAAAAAAAAATAGACATGGAAGAACAACAAAAAACCTATATAGTTTCTTCAATAAATGTTCTCTTGTAAATGATAATTAAGAAAAGCATTCGAGATATAAAATTATTGCAAAGTCTAGTTGTTAGTTTTGGCTAAGGCAAACACTATTTAAATTATAGTAGTTTTGTCAACTAGACGAAAAGTATCAATGCAATTTAATCCATGTTCTTGAGTGTATCCCTTAGCGAGTCAAGTGAGCTTTAAATCCTTAAACTGAATTATCAGCCTATTGTTTGATGCAAAACACCTATTTATTGCCATTAATATTAGTAGTTGGGGAGGTGATACTAATGTGCATGTATCATTATTTACTAGGATTGCAATTTCAGCATGCATTGCATTTTTATATGCTTTGAACTTGCTAGCTTGAGTATAGCAAGTAGGTTTAACATTAGAACATGTGTGAATAATGGTCGAATGAGTTTGGTTGCTCTTGGCCATTGTCGATGGATACAAAGTGAGAGAGTGTGTATGTTGAGGTTGTTGAGTAGGAAGGGACAAAACTAGTAAAATTTTAGTCACGTCCTCCCATAAATTGATATTTTACGAAACACAATGATGTTGATGTTGTTAGACAAAAGAAAAATTTGTGTGTGTTATGTGGACAAAAGAAAAAATAAACAACACAACCAATTCTTTTGAAAAAAATTATAATTGTGGATAATTGAAGATAATTTTTGTTAAAGATGCTCATTATGGAGAACTGCGAAAAGCAATCTATTTATAAAAAAGACTCGTAGTTTGTAAAGGAAAGTTTTTTATATTTAAAGAAACATTACTGTAGACAAGTAGAGATAGAGCATTATCAACTATATTTATTATTTTTCTCTCTAACATTCTATGAGTATGTAGACATGCTAATTCATGATGAATCCCACACTTTTGAAAATGATTATTCAATCGTTTATATTCAACCATCCTAGTCGACTTGAAAATTCTTTATCTTACAATCAAATTAACGTGCAACATAATGTTGAACTTCTTAAAATAAATCATAGACATCATTTTTCAATTCAAGAGGAAAAAGACATGTAAATTTACTAAAATCAATAATAAATAGAACAAAATAATGACTCGATAACTAGTAATGAAGATAATCGGAGGACCCTAAATATCTTAGTGAACTAACTCAAAAGGAAAACTACCGTAGTGTTTTATGGATGGAAGACTAAGCATAATGCTCTTGCCCATCTAACATGAAGCACATTTATTAGTTCAAGACAATATACTAGAATTAGGTAAAAAGTATTGACGAATAATTTTGTTCGAGTAATTAATAATGTAATTTCCTAAGTCGTGCATGCCATTGATCCAAAAAAGTATTCTCATTAATCCATGCCTATGGAGAAGAGAAAGCACTTGGATTTGTAGTGTTGCATATATTGCTTATAGAGGCCATTCTCAATTTGGCTCGTAGAAGTATTATCTTGATAATTTGGTCCTTAACCAAATAATTATGAGGGTGAAATTCAAAATAGCAATCATTCTTCTAGCTATTAACGAATAGACAATAAATTTTTAGTAATTAATTAAACTCATAGAACATTAGAAAGTTGAAATTTATGGCTAAGAGAAGAAAGAGCAATACAACAATTGTGAATAAATAAATCTTGTCCATTTCCAACATATAATTTATAATTACCCTTGTACTCATCGATCTAAGATGCTTAAAGTAGACAAGTTTAAAGTGATGTGATTGGTTGCTCGCGATATCCAAGTGCCGAGTTTACGAGTTAGAGATAATGGATATGTTGGAATTTGAAGTAGGAAAAAAAGGAATAGAATTATTTCTCCTATCGTTGGGAACATAATGAAATTTATAGACAAAAGCATTGTGGTTCTTCATGTAAGAATTTTTATTGTAAGATATATGTTTAGATAGTTAAAATTAAATTCTATTCAAAAGACTTAAGCCTTATGATAGATGGCTTCTTCACAACTTTATATATTATCATTTTTAGTTTAACTATTTAATGTGGGATATATTGTTTAACACTCCCTCTCACATACAATCCATCTTTTGGGATATGTCAAGTGGATTGGGTTTTATAATCTTTCTTTGGATCGTTAGATTTTTTTGAGGCTCGATATCATATAGAGTTAGATAGTTGAAATTAGATTTCATTCAAAAGACTAAAGCTTTATGGTGGATGGCCTCTTCATAATTTTATATATTAATCATTTTAGGTTTAGTTATTCAATGTGAAATATATTTTCTAACATAGGATATAGATCCAAAGGCTTTTTCTAAAGATGTTTAGACAACAAAAGAGGAGGATAAGCCAACAACATATGGAAAAACTTCTTCAAAAATCGAGAATAACATCCAATTTAGGAGGAGTTAATCATGATGAAACTAGATTTATGAGTAGGATTAAGTTTTATGATTGAGGTTGTGGGATTCAAAATCTCCATCGGAGGTTTTTGCTTTTTGTCGTTAATGAAGCCAACAAGTTTGTAGGTGTTAAGAAGAGACCAATTGAGTTTTCCTTGTTAGATAATTGGTGGAGGGTGATTTAGATGGATTGTGGAGTGAAGAAAGAGGCAAAGGAAGAAAGGATTCGACTATTTGCAAGATTAGAAGAGGAAAAGTGATGATGGCTTATGACTCTGATGCAAAATTGAAATTTAAAGTCAGTTTTAGGAAAGTTGTAATTGTGCAAGTTTTGAAATACAAAATTTATTTCTATACTATCCAAAATATAAATTTAAATTATATTAACTAACTATATTTCTAACTTGTCCCTGCAAACTTAAGATCAATCTGATTTTTGTGTGAAATAAATAGACATTTATCCAAGACATAACCGTGGGATGACGGCATATTAGGCACCAAAATTATCGTTGTCTTTGGCCTTTTCTATCTTGTTTGTTTTTTCAAGGATGATATCCGCTTATTAGTGACTCATGTGTCTTATTTTCTCAAGTACATCAATGAAAATTAAAATAATGATGGTCTGCACATTTTACTCTCATTAATCTCGGTGACGACTTTTCTCCTTTGTTTTCTTCTATAAATACCCAGACCTTGTACCGCATTTGTATCAAGAACCTCAGATATCACTCATCTGACTTTGTCCCAGTTTTGCCTCGCATAGAGAAAGAAGATGTGGTTCGGCAAATTCTTCTTAGCCACATACTTAATGGCATTCATCTTAGTTAGCATCACCTTAGCCCAAAATTCTCCCCAAGACTATGTCGATGCACATAACGCCGTTCGAGCTGAGGTGGGAGTCGGTCCAGTTACCTGGAACAACACTGTGGCAGCCTATGCTCAAAAGTACGCAAGTTCAAGAGTTGAAAACTGTGAATTAGAGCATTCAGGAGGACCCTATGGTGAGAACATTGCAGAAGGCTATGGTAACCTGAATGGAGTGGATGCTGTCAAAATGTGGGCAAGTGAGAAGCCTTACTATTATCATGATACCAATTCATGCGTCGGTGATGAGTGCCTGCATTACACTCAAGTTGTGTGGAGCAAATCGGTTCATTTAGGGTGTGGCAGAGCTAAGTGCAAGAATGGGTGGTGGTTTGTCACTTGCAACTATGATCCTGTTGGAAATATTGAGGGTCAAAGCCCTTATTGAATTCTGTTACTTAGAATTCTAGCTCGTATTTGCCGAAGAAAAAAAAATCTAGCTAGTATTTTGTATTTTACTTGAGCCATTCATTGCCCTAGTTCAAATTAATCTCCTACTATTGTCTCAAGTGGAAAACTACTAGTCCGATCAACAACCATTGGAGCTTATGATCATAACAAAAATCAGCATATCTAATAATTTAAGATTATTATTTAAGCTGTGTAGAAAGGGTACGGACATATTTTTGTGATCTACATATAGTCAATAAATAATCATTCCAGATAGCATGCCCTTGTAGAAGAGCTATTAAATTGCAACTGTCAATTGGATATTGTTCATTGGATATTGTTCGGATAAGGAGATGTTGATTTGGTGGTGGAGAGAGGAGGAAGAAAAGAAAAAAAAAACAAAGAAGAAAAAAGGGAAATATATATATGAGCCATTCTAGATTTAATTTTTTTTTAACTCACACGTTTAAAGTTCTTAATAGAAATTTCAACTCATGATCTCTTATTACAAAATATCATTATCATTGGATTATAAGTTTTTTGATATTCTATATTCTAATTAGATTGTTGGTTTTATTTAACATTAGGAATTTTTTTTAACCAAAAAAGAGTTTATGATAATTAATTTTTTTTCTAAAATTATGAATTTATATGAGTTTGGGCGTAAGATAAAAAGGATACAGCAAAATGCCAGGGATTGCCTCACCGTCAAGAACAAAAAAAGACCCAACAACCTACTTAGATGGCTAGCTAAATTACTATACAATACAATACCTGTACGTTTCATTTAAGTGCTGTTTTTGGCAAATTCAAAGCACTCAAATATAAATTTAATTGGCGATGAGATTTTAGAACGATGATTTGTTCTTTCAATTATGATTTTATTCAAAGAAACGACATTAATGTCAATAGCAAGACATCAAATAATATGGCTCTCTGATTTCCATATGCTCCTCGAAATAATTCTTCCATATTTAGGCCTCGTAACCTTCCATTTCAGGAACACAGAGATATTTATATATTCTTTCATATAATTACTTACCATCTGCAGGTAAATTAGAAATCAACTGTTAGGTAGTAAAGAAGGAAAGTGCATGAAAATGGATTTTAACTTTTTATTTTACACTTAATGTGAGCAATTAAATCAAAGAAACAAATCAATGAATCAACTAATTGGGTCTATATATTTATCTAATAGATTACACACACACTCTCTCTCCATATTTGTTGTGTCCAAAGAATGAAGTTCGCTGCGTTTTCTCTGGTGATTTGCACCATATGCGCAGTAAGTTTAGTTCATGTCTCCGTAGCACAAATTTCTCCTGATGACTTCGTGAAAGCCCATAACAAGGTGCGTAAAGAAGTTGGGGTTGTCCCAATTTCTTGGAACAAAACGTTGGCAGCCAAGGAAGAGGAACTTGCTATACCAAGGATCTCAAGCTGCAATGTGATCGAAGATCCTTTCGGTGAAATTGCTGTACAAGCCTCCTATCCTCTGACTGCAGCCGAAGCAGTGGCATTATGGGCTAGTGAGAAACCTTACTATGACTACGACAAAAATACCTGTGTTGGGAGAAATTGCGAGCACTACACTCAGGTTGTTTGGAACGAATCAGTGACGGTTGGATGTACAAGGGCTCAGTGCAGAAGTGGGTACTGGTTTATCTCCTGCAGATATTATCCTGAGGGAAATACCCCATTAGAACGCCCATATAAAAAGCACTAACTGATTCAAAGGACCCATTGGGTGCTCAATCAAAGTTGTTAGATGCTGTACTTTGGGTTTTATTAAATCTTAACAATTGCTTCTGCACATTTTTTTTCTGGTCTAATAATCTGGCAATTGGACATTATTAAGGTTGTTTAATAGCTTGGTTGGCTGTTTGAATCTCTGTGCTCTGCCTTGCTTATCTTCATCCATTTGGTTAACAATTTGGTTAACAGGTGCAGTCCTACCTTTCCCACAAAGTCGGCCCAAGATGGGCTCGCGAACAAATTGGGTCCAGCCAATGGTTTGGGGAGAAAAAAGGGGTTCTAAATAGTGGAATTTCAAAGTCCTTTTTCCGGTTTAGACTGATGAACTATTTCTGCATGAAGGATTTTGGACTTACTGGCAAGCCATTTCCTTATTTCAGCCAAAAAAAAACCCATATATTTTTCTATTAACAAAAAGCAACAAACGATTAAGAAAATAAAAGTTCCATATCTCCCTCCCCCCTTTTTTCCGTTCTCTTTTGAATATGATTAAATTTTCTTAATAGATCGACATGAGTTTCTGTTTCTATTTAATTTTTCTTTTCGGATGCCAAATAATTAATTTATTAGCTACGGTAGTTCACAGCATATGCTATCTCATTCTGTCACCATTCAGAATTGCAGACATTAACCTAGCCATCCCCTAAAGCCTAAGGGCTAAAGGCCTCTGTGTGTGTGAGAGAGAGAGAGAGAGAGACTAGTGAGGTTTGTTAGGAAAATAAGTTGGCATGGTGAATTCAAAATCAAGATCAGATCTCTTTCTTAATTGGCATTTATAAGGATGATTTTATCTATTTAATGTAATTGAAATCTACCTACCAAATTGGTGTCCCAAAAATTGTTGCATCCTATGAATGGATTTCACACACAGATGTATAGGACTCGCTCATGATCTAATGCTCAAAAGAAAGAAAATAAATGTTTGGGAATTGACTAGAAATATGGGTCACCGCTTTCCATATTATTCGAGATATTTTGGAAAAACTAAAAATTAGTTACCGTGTATAGATAAATTGGTAATGAATAGATAACTAGAAAAATGGAAAACCGTTTTAAAAATCGCAATCCCATGGCGTAAATACAATATTATATTAAGATGAATTAAATCAGATATATGTGGAAAACTGAACGAGGATTTGAAAATTTTACTATATGTACAAAATTAAGTATATTTAGCATTATCCTTACTATATATTTACTCGAGAAGAAAAAAAGAAAGAAAAAAAAAGTAGGAATTCACACTTTTTCTGTGTCCAATATTATTATAATAAGTTAATTATCCTCCTTATTTTTTATTTTGGACATCATTGTACTTTGCACTCTTTATTTTGAAAACCTTATATTTTTTATCTTCTATTTTTTCTGTGATTGTACTTTCCATCTTCTGTTAAAAACCAATAACTTAACAGTTAGAAATTGAGTTGACTTTCGGTCAAAATACTATAAAATAACCAAATAATAACCTCTAAAAAGATTTTGAATGCATTAAATAAACAAATAAAATGTCTAGTTATCACATACATAAAAACAAATAACTTTTAAACATTTAGCTACTTAATCCTATGTTATTATCTACCCGAGGACACTACATTTTATCACTTATCATGTCTTGTAACTCTCCTTTTTCTTTAACAGAGTTTAGATCATATTGCATCGTATTATTTTGCTTCGCCGATTAAGCAAAAAAAAAAAAAAAAGAAAGAAAGAAAAAACACTACTAGAAAATCAATGATTTTTTTTACGAAGTATTCTGTCAGAATTGTTAGTTTTGTTAGTTTTTGCCGCTTTAATATGTCCTTGCAATTGACGATAAGGGAGACTTAGAAAGGTCTTTTTATAATTGTCCGGGTGCGCCAGGTTACACGAAAAAGAAAAAGAAAAGTCAAGACTCCAAGTCAATTAAAAAAAAAAATGGAATTAGCGTCTGCAATTCTGACCAGCAGTGACGAGGAAGAATAATCTTGAAGTTAATTATCTATATATAAAATGAACTTGGGAATAATTTAATTTAAAGTTAGTTATTTGTCTTCGATATTGAGAAATGCTTAAAATCCGTTAAAAGATGCAAGCATATATAGTCAAGGATCGTCAATAACTATTTGCTATTAATCTGGAGTTTTTATTTGAAGAAAAATTGAAGTTAATAATACAAAAATAAAAATTCTAAAATTCAGATACAGCGAAAGTTAACTTGGGTAATGAGATAACAGCAGAGTTGGTTTAGTTATACAATTAGCGACGACGTCGTGTACTAATTTAAACCTAGCTCAAGAAAACAGCCCACGTGCACGGTCTTAGCTTCAACCAAGTGCGGGGCTAACTTTTTCCTTGCACGACAGTGTTTTGGTTCCTACCATCTTAATCCATGTTGCACGGCACACGTTACTTCGATGGAAAGCTGCCAACATATGCTTGACCTTAAAAAAACGTTTACTTTTACCCTTTTTTTGGGAATGTTAAACACGTTTGGATATTCTAGAATATGCTAAATTTTAATGGGCGTATTACACGCACTTCTTTTCTAAATTTTATGAGAGGTAATATTTTCGGATCAATTCAGCACATAAAAATTAGATTATTTTTATCATTCTACGTACAAAGGTAAGTTATTGCCAAAACTTGAAGATCTATGAAAGTTTGAAATGGTATGAAATTTGAACTTTAATACCCTAAAAGAAGATCAATCTCTCAAAAAATTAGGCCAATATTCCTTCTTATTCATGTTAATCCACTCTGTATATTACAGTTTATGGGTTTAATAGATGATTTTTTTTCTTTGAAGGATTGCATGCCGATAGAAAAATCAACTAGTTGTTCTGTATTTTCCCAAAAAAAAAAAAAAAAAGGTGTGATGTTTTAGACACAACAATGGATGATACGCAATGGAAGCGGCGTGATTTGTGGAACCAAGGCTGCAAAAACAAGAATAAAAGCAGGGTGAGGCAGTCAAAAGAGGATAAAAACATAGGAAATTCAAAGGACCAAATAAATAATTCAACTGAGATTTTTTTAATCAGTCAGATCGCGTTTGATTCAGCTGAACACATACACCAATAGCATATCCTTCCTAAAATATAAAGCAACAAAGAAACCATGGAATGAAAGTAATTTCCATCTCAACATATATATATAAGCTTCATTGGTTTTTCCTTTATTGTAATAATAGTATAATTAAACAAACCCACTAATCCACGCACGATGAAACCGATAAATTAAGCAAGCAAATTTCGTCTTAAACCCTTAAATTGAACAACCGTTAGCGATTTAAATGCATAAAACAAAGTTGATAAACGCTATATATATGTTAGCATCAGTTTAATTAAGAAAAATTGACTTAGAATTTTACACCAATGGGCTATGGTAATATTCAAATATAACTTTCCTTTTCCTAAGCTTCTTCACACATAATGAACATAAAATTAAACCATTTGATCGAATCACTGATTGCCATAACATACGTTCATTTCCATCCAATTAATGTGCAGCCGACAACGCATCAACTTTTCCAAGGGACGTGCTTTGGGAGTCTAGCTAGTCCCTTTCGTCATAGAGGCTATTGCTTTGATCATTCTACGCTCATAATACTTCTAAGCCATCATTCACATATTTTCCACAATTAATGCCTATAAATACCGATTAAGCTCTCATTCTTGTTTCATCCATCACAAAAGAGATTCTTTTGCATCAAAAAAAAAAAAAGTTACAATGATGCTAAGCAAGACTTCTCTTGCTTTCTTTTCTTTCATGACCTTAGCCCTAATCCTTCCCTCCCATGCCCAAGACACACCACAAGATTACCTTGATGCTCATAACGCAGCTCGTGCAGCTGTAGGTGTTGGTCCACTAACTTGGGACAACACGGTGCAAGCCTATGCACAAAATTATGCTAACCAACGTGCCGGCGATTGCAACCTTGTCCATTCTGGTGGACGTTATGGGGAGAACCTTGCATGGAGCAGCGCTGACCTTTCAGGTACAGATGCTGTAAAAATGTGGGTTGATGAGAAGGCCTACTACGACTACAACTCAAATTCTTGTGCTGCTGGCCAGCAGTGTGGACATTACACTCAAGTGGTTTGGCGTAACTCTGCTCGCCTAGGATGTGCTAAAGTGAAGTGCAGCACTGGAGGAACCTTCATCGGCTGCAACTATGATCCACCCGGCAACTATGTTGGGGAAAAACCTTACTAATTAAACCTTTCAATGAATGCTTCTATTAGCTGCAACAATCGTGATAAATAAGCTGATTTATAGCTGGAACAATTATGATAAATAAGCTGATTTATGTTGGCATTAATTAATATATACTAGAAAATGTTTGCTCGTTTTGATAATATTCTGCCATTCGGTAAGGTTTATGGATGATTTTTATTTTTTTATTATTATATTCATATATATGATTATAATTATAGTCTGAATAATCACAACTTATGGGTTGTAGCATCCAATTTTAAGTTAACTTAATTATTGAATTAAGTTGAAGTAAAACTGGATGTTTTAAAAGTGCAAATCAATCATGACGCATATATGAATATATCCAAAACCAAACAACTGCTTAATACAATACCATAAAAATAAAAAAATAAACTTTACCGCTTTACCGTTTTGAACAAAAATATTACCCCATAAAGATAGATACCCACGATCAACCCTGGTCCCCAAAAATGAGATTTACCTTCTTCTTATCTATATTTCGGCCGGATTCTCTACTACTTAGGGGTAAAAGGTTTTTAATCTTGTAGAAGCAATCCCAATAGAATTGATTGCTAGTTATTACTCTATCTCTCATATAAATGAAACTAATTCATTGGTAAAAAAGGAACATAATTAGAAAGCAGCAGCTAGTCAATCTCTAATACAAAGCTTAGAAAATTAAGAACCAGTCACAAAATTAGATTAGCTCCGATTGTAATTTGCAATTAATCTACTTTAAGCTGGTTCTTTTAGTTATAACAAAAAGGCATAATTACACAAATGATTTCAATCCGGGGTTCCTCTAATCCTATCTACAAACACAAAACACTCTCTCCATCACCGTTCCAGTTCTTTCTTCTCGGTTCTCCCAACGCCCTTAACACCTCTGGCTATTGCATGTACCCCATTTTATCAAAAAAGAAAAAAAATCAGGGATTACTTTTGTCCCCTAATATCATAATTAAAAACACACACACACACATATATATATATATATATATTTTATTGGCATAAGTTAATAGACAATTGGAATTTGGACATATATATAGTCATGAGTTATAATCGTAAAAACCCACTAATTAATCCCATAATGGTGACATGATATATTTTTATATATTACTATTAATTTAAGATGTTAAATTTACCATCAAAACTGTTAATTTGTACCCTAATATCATAATAAATAAATAAAAACCAACATGGTGTATAAAAAAAATCAATTAAATGAAATGCACTGATAGTATATAAAAGGGTACCATGAGATCTTCTAACATATTTATTCGCATAAATTAATGGACAATTGGAATTTGAATGTATCGTCATGAGTTACAATTGTAAAAACCTAGGCGTTGCTAAATTTATCATCAAAATGGTTAATTCTACCACTTTTTTCTTAGAATTGTCAATACACTCTTCTCATCGATATTTATTATATTATAATTAAATATGTTTTTATATAAATAATTAAAATCACCATCAATATTATATCCTAATCTACTTTTGTAAAAACAAAGGACAAAAAAAAAAAAAAAAACACACACACACACATCACCTCCAGACTTCCAATAATGACCAGCTGTAAAACATTTCATCTTATGTACTCAACTACTGACATGCATACTACAACAAATCACAAGTACTTTTTCTTGTTCTTCAGTATGAAAAGAAAATTTGGAAAAAATATAACAAAGCCAAATCATAAAATTGAAAAAAAAAAAAGACATATAGAGAAATAATTTGAATATATTTTAGAAAAACTACGACTATAGCTCCTTGTTCATGAAGAAACAAGTTGATGAATTTGGAATTAAATTTAAGTCAATGATCCTCTTCCATTTCAGCCCGAAGACTGAAGAAATCAGACCTAGAAAAGCAGATTTGGTTGTTCTGTTTTCTTTGCCTAACTACCATATCACAAATTAAACTACTTTCATTTTATTTCAACAAAACATAAAATTTTCTGACCATATTCAACCTTTTTAACCCCGATAACTTCTTGCGATAGTACTGGCCATGCTGATAAGTAACAAAATATCCAAACCACCCAACAAGAAAACAAAGAAGCCCATTCAATTGATTGATGAACTATAACAAAGACCAAATAAATAAATAAATAAATAAGCGAAGATAAAAAGTCAAAGAAGAAAAAATGGACACACCATCTATATTTGCAAGTTCATTGAATTCGGGCCGGTAGCTCCAAATTAGAATAGAGATTCAGTTAAACCTTGGAATTTCTTTTCCTTATTGGTTCATAATTTGTATTAGTGTCAGCTGCAAAATCTTTGTATTTTATGTTTATTTGTTTTGTATTTGTGTTACACATGAAAGCATAGGGATATTTGATATATTTTACTATAATATAAAAAACAATAAGGAGGGTATACTTATTATTTTAAGAAAATAAATGGTGGAATTAACAATTTTGCTGACAAATTTAGCAGCACTCATTAATTTATTGGCGTCAATGAACTTAATTTATGTATCTAACGTACGTGAGCGGAACGTTCCTAGATTCCATTAATCCATACGTGGAATCATTGCACTTATATCTCTTTGTTAGACGCTTAATAGAGCTTTAACAGTAGTCTCATAGGACTTATTAAATGGAATATGAAGAGTATTAGCCAAAAAAATTTAATTATAATTTTCTAAAGTTGCATATCCATCTCATATGGTGATAGCTAGGGTCCCATTTTCCTCTTCGAAAACAAAACTAGTAGTATATCCTATCCAGCAAACCAAAATGGAAATAGGCAAGAATTCACTGGTAATCGTTTGTCTCATAGCCTTGGCCGTAATAATCCCTCGAAATCTCAAGCTCAAAACTCCAAACAGGACTTCGTCAATTCTCACAACAATGCTCGTGCAAGGTGCGTGTTGGACCTTCGAGATGGAATAACAATTTGACTGCTTCTGCAAGCAACCATGTTCATCGAATCAAGCGTCATTGCCAACTTTTGATCGCTGATGGAATTCATGCTAACAACCTTACCGTTGATAGTGTTGACTTTACAGCCATAGATGCTGTGAGTTTGTGGTTAGAAAAGAAGCCATACCACGATTGCAAATCCAATTCACGTGTTGCACAATACTGCATATATAACTTATATTAACGTGATCTCCTGCAACTCGCGCGCTTCGTTTAGGCTGTGCTAAAAGCGAGGTGCAATAATGGAGGCACAGCCGTATGTTGCGCCTATGATCCCCCTGGCGACATTCCTGGCAAACATCCTTACAAGTATTACGCACCTAGATTTTCACAAATCAATTTACTTATAAGTAATTACGAAGTATCCATTCTCGTCAACGTCGAGAATAAAATGAAGATAATCTAATTCAGTGATTAAAAATATTTTGTGAAGTTTACTTTTCTGAAACATGAAGCGATGCCAAAGTGTCAAACCAGAATCAAATTTTTACTATATTTTAAAGGGTTCTCTTTTCTTGAAAGAAGAGAACAAACCATGATATTTGTTGAGGCACAAGCTTAGTTAATGTAATCGGTTGCAATATCCTCCTAACTAGCTAGCCTTCAATTCTTAGATTCTTACGTGTTATGTTTTTATGATTTTTATTTCCTAGGACAATCAATTATTTTCTCATGCTTAATGTTTATAAATTCCCATCCCATTCTCATGACATTTTGCATGGACATTTTATCTCTAAATATAATTACAATTGCAAATTGGGAAGTAAATAATATTGCTTCAACTTTATTTGGTCTACTGCTTCGGTCAATTTTCAGCTTTATTTTGCATAATTTGTGGTCGGAGGTGTACCTGCTCAAGTCGCTTCTTCAGTATGGGAATGTACAAATTACCCTGTTCTAACGAGGGCGTTTTTGTTATTTCCTTTCCAGTTCTTTTTCTTTTTGGCTTTCTTGTAGCGGAGGCTAGGTTTTGATCTCGCCAGTGATTTTGCCATTTTTTCATATTTCCCATTAATTACGATTCCTTTGTCTCGCATAATTTATGGCAGCCACCGATGACGAAGACCTTAGTAGCGAGTCTAGGGACGTCTGACATGTCTTCCAAACAGCAGCCCACGTTTACGTTATGTAACAACCATCTAGACCAAGAAGTGTACGCTTCTTAATTGCTTAAACCATAGATAAGTCATTAATCTCGCTAGTGGTTCCCGGCATATTGATGTCCACAATTTTTAGGAATTAAAACAGGCTTAATATTATAAGAGAAATTTTATTATACAATCATTTCCATGACAATATTTTTCAAATCTATATCGATTCTACTGTCTTGATTTAAATTTATGAAATTACATAGCATTTTCATTATTTTTAAGTGTTTACAGGATTAACTCCTTGAGTCCACTTTAAGGAAAGAGATAGACACATAAAAAAAAAATTACATTCATATCCATCAAAAGTGATAAGAAGATTTTTACGTCCGCTTAAATTTTTTTATTTTCTCTCTTTTGTTTTTTTCTCTCTTTTGTGTGTCTATCTTTCCCTTCAAAGTGAGCCTAAAGAATAACTACTCGTACATGTCACTGAGTTACTCCTTATATATTATAAAATTTCTCTTTATACTTCAGTCTCGTTTTTTAATGTTTAATTATACAAGAATTGCGGTTGAATTTTAAAATTTAAAATGTACAGGAATTGTGGTTCACTAATTCAATAAACCATGCATGAACCGAAACTGTGAAGACCGATATTATAATATAGAAGCCCAAGCACCTCTGTTTATTTTGAATAGGATATAATCGGACAGGATAATCTTGAAATTGTGTCTTTTGACTTTTGAATGGAATTGCGTGTATGATCAAATTAATACTAAGTCTAGATAGAAAAAAATCCTTCATTATATGTCAAATTTCTGATAATGGAGGTCATACAAATAATTAATCTCCCAGATTAAATACACCTATAAACTCCATTCTAATTGAGCAGATTTTGCCAAACATTTTTTTTATACACGTGGACAAAAGTCCGCCTTTTGCATTGCAGAACAAGCAAGTGGTGGAAAATATCACGGAGACAAAATTTGATCTCTGGATCTATGGATAGAGAATACCGGACTAAGTCACCTTCAGCCACGAAATCTAGCTATAAAAAAAGAGTGAGATTTTTTACTATTAATAAAGAATCCATATTAGTAATATGTTAGAATACAGCACTATAAAAGCTATTGATTAATTGTACCACAACATAAATAAGTACAAATTAGTGTTTGCATACCTAACTCTTTTTTAATTAGTAAAGTAATTAAGTTTGAATACAAATAGTTTCAATTTATTTGATTTATTTGATTGAGTAGTCCAAATATGAAAAAAAAAAAAAAAAATCTCCATACAAAAGGGATAAGAACTGTTATACTAGTCTACTAATGAAATCATCCCCAACAATCCCACCTTTTATGAAAAAAATGCCACTTCTAGAAAATGTACATAAAGGTCCACTAGTTGATTTGATCCACTAATTGCTCCATTCATGTGGAAATATTATCTTGAAATTAAGTACCTGTTGAAGACCGCAATTGTTTCTTTGGTTAGTCCTTAGTGGTGTTCAAGCCAACTAAGTTTTTGGACATTTTTCCGTGATGATCTAAAACAAGTTTCCCCAATCCTCTATATATATGTCCAACTTTTGTCATCTATAATAAGAATATTTCATCACCAGCATAGAAAATTAACAAACCAATATGGAAATTGCAAAGAATTCACTAGCAATTGCTTTTCTAATTGCCTTAGCTGTAACAATCCCTCTATCCCTTGCTCAAAACACCCCACAAGACTACCTGGATGCTCACAACAATGCTCGTGCACAGGTAGGTGTTGGAAATATGAGATGGGACAATAACGTAGCAGCTTATGCAAGAAACTATGTGAATCGGCTCAGGGGTGATTGCAAACTTGTGCATTCTGGTGGGCCTTATGGTGAGAACCTTGCAGGGAGTAGTGCTGACCTCACAGGCAGAGCTGCCGTGAAAATGTGGGTTGACGAGAAGCCAAAGTACAATTACAACTCCAATTCTTGCGTTGGTGGAGAATGCAGGCATTATACTCAGGTGGTTTGGCGCAGCTCAGTTCGTTTAGGTTGTGCAAAAGCAAGGTGCAATAATGGGGGCACAGTCATCAGTTGCAACTATGATCCCCGTGGCAACTATGTTAACCAGCGTCCTTACTAGCTATGAACTTAGATTTTGGCAAGCGAATATGTAAGTCATAAATAAGCCATGTGTTTTGGCAAACGAGAATAAAATGAAAACATTGTATTTTAGGGATTAATTATCTCACACCATATTGTGAAATATTCACTTTCATCTAAAAAAGACGTTGTAGTGATTGTATTCGGGGTAGAAAAAAAATAATTGGTCTCAAACAAGAATCAATTTGTGCTTGAAAGTTCTTGTTTTCTATTTGCTGCAGTTATATTCCTAGAAATTTTGAGGCATCCAATAGAAGTGTCATAACCCAAAATTTGGGTTACATAAATCTCCTCCAATTTCATTCCTTTTATTTTATTTTTAATTTAATTTAATTTAATTCATTACCAAAAAACATAAAATTAGCAACCGTCCTTAATTCTTGAAAAACCATCGCTAAATAAGATTAGTGATGGTTTTACGACGATATTAAACCATTCGTAAAATACTTATTGCTAATTATTTAGCGACGGTTTTTTTAGATTGTCGTCAATTTAACGACAAAAAAATCATTGCTAAATTTGAAAAAATTTGCAATGGTTTTTACAAAACCACATCTAAAATTGTGGTTTAGCCTATATTAAGTTCCTATTCCATTTTGAAAACGTGCAAGGAAAAATGGTAGCGATGTTATCACTATCATTGACGAGCCCCGTGGCTCAAATCCTTTAGTCAACCCAATATAGGCTAACAGAGAGAGGCTTTTGGTTTGACAATCAACCGAGGGTTGCTTGATTCTTATTGAGGGAATTTCGTTCGAGGAAGAAAGAAAATTTTGGGAGCTTGGGTAATTGGACATTTTGTTCGGGCGAACAAGAAGAGAGAGATTTGGTTTCGGTTTGAAAGGTTTGGGTTTTATGCTTGAGTTTGGCTAGGTTGTTGAAGAAGGAAAAAGAGAGGAAATAGGCTAGATTTAGCCCATCTTTTTTTTTTTTTTTTTTTTGCCTATTTATGTCAATTTATTTAATTTAATGCTTAATCTTTAATTTTATTTGGGTATTTAAATTTTAGTTTAGTTTAATATTTAGTATTAATTGAATCTAAATTTTGTGAGTAGATGTTAGACTCCTATAAATATGTAGGGACTATTAATTTAATTTTATGATTTTATTTTAATATTAAATATGGCTTGAATAATCAATAGTTTAATTAGATAATTAATCAATGAATGAATCATCGAATCTCCTAATGTTTAGAGACTGATAAAGATTCTCTACCAACCTTGAGGAAAAAAAAAGAAAAAGACATAAAAAAGATAAAAGATAAAAAAAAATGCTAAGTGAAAATTAACAAGTCTTTTATCTAATAAGGAATGATATTAAAACAAATCATATTTTAGTAATTAGGTCGTTCTCCGACTTACCGATTATGTTAAGACTTAAACTCGGATCCGATATTGAATTGATGAGGCTCTTGGTAACGGGTCCGAAGATTGGTTCAATATGATGCCACAAACAAAAATAAAAAATTCAAATGACTTATGAAATGAAAATTAGAATTTTGACTTAGAATTACTTTTGGCAATAATATAATTTTTAACGGATAAATTTTAGAATTTAAATTAGATATGATAACTTTTCTATGAAAGAATGTCTTTGGGTGATTGATATCTTTCTAAAAGTATATAACTAATTTTTTATCATAAAATCTCTAAACCAATATATTTTTTAGGTTCTTAGTTACCTTTAATACTAGGTGGCGATTCTAAAATTAATAATAACTCATATCTCCAAACAAACAAAATTTCCAATCAATAATAAGAATGTTTTTGAAAATTCCTTAGATATCGGATAACAACAACGATAATATGACATTTCTTCATTTTATGTATAGTAACTTAATCTTTGAAATAGGCTACTATCATTTCATAAAATTAAAATTTATTTAATTTAAAAATGCTCACCAATTATATAGGTAGTCTCAATTTTGCATCCAAATAAATTTTTGTATCAATTTGGTCTCTTTAAGTGTTAGAAATTCTTAATTAAATCTTTCCATTCATATTTCATCATGTATTCAATTTACATTGTACTTTTTTCTAGGAAATAAGGTGGTTTTGTATGAAACTTAATATTTTCTATAAGAAATTATACTGAAAAGCCCATTTGAGAAATACGAATTGTTTGAAGATAAACTTCATTTGTTTGTGGGGGTTAATTATTATTTTTTAGGTTTGCCCCAAACTTTAACCCGAGGAAAAAAAGTCTTGACCATGCTAAATAAGATTCTAAAATATATTAGTGATTATAATACCATACTTGTAAGAAAGTAACAAATCATCATATTTTGATCACCATCTTCCTAAAATGGATAAGAAGTGATGTTAATAAAACTTAAATGATTCACCAATCGACCAATTTGATTTTATCTTGTCGCCCTAACATGAAGTCTTATCTTGAAATTAACTGAAGTAGACCGCAATCTTCAGGGTAATTAGTCCATGGGCGGTGTACTAGTCTACTAAGTTTTCATTTGAACATCCTGCCATTAAACGTATACTGCATAAAGACATCCCAATTTTTAAATATTAACAATAGCCTTGACTTTCCCTAACCCAAATGGACAAGTATTCTTTAGCAATTGCTTGTCTCATTGCGTGTAGTCTTAATATTCCCTCAATGCCTTGCTGAAGATTCTCCTCGAGACTACGTTAATGCTCACAACACTCCTCGTCAGAAGTTGCTGTTGGGCCTATGAGTTGGGACGATGATGTGGCAATATCATATGCACAAAACTACGCTAATATGCTAGTGAATGTGTTGCTGCTCGTCAAATTTAATTTTTAAATAGAGTATATCAATGCTTTAATTTATGATTAAGTCTTTCGTGATGAAATATTATAGAGTTTAATTTTACCTAACAAGTCATTAAGATTTTTTGTGGATACTTAATTTAAAGAATGAATAATAAAACAAACAAAATTTTATCAATCGAAATAGTTAAAATTTATTAAAAATCTAAATATCATAAATCAAAAGATATGATACTTACATTGTTAGTTATCGAAATGTTCAATGTCATTCGACGGATCAACGTTTTCTAAGTTATGAAGATAAAATTACCGAAAACAGTAAAAGACTAATACATTATTTACAAGAAAGTAGGAATTAACTATTACATGGTAAATTAACGGATTTAAATAAACTTATCTAAGAAGTCTTGTGTTGTTGATCGTGTGCGATTCCGTTGATCCTCTCTCCCGAAATAGCTTTTGACTAACAACTCGCTTTTTATTTAAATTCAAACGCGAACAGTTATGTAATAACTATCCCTTTGTTTTCTTGGTGCATGTTGCCTTCATCGAAATTAAATGATTGTAGAACCAAGCACATCGTTTTATTTAAATCTTATGGTTTTGTCGAAACCTAACTAATTATATTACCAAACGCACCATTTCACTAAGGACTTAAGCTTCGTCGAAACTTGGTTTGTTACAAGTCCAAATGCATCGTTTCGTAAAGGACTTAAGGTTTCGTCAAAACCTAGTTGGTGACAAAACTAAATGTATCGTTTCATTAAAGTTTTAAAGCTTCATCGTTTCATTAAAGTTTTAAGGTTTCGTCGAAACTTGGTTAGTTATAAGACCAAACGCATCGTTTCATGAAAAACTTAAAACTGATTGGTTTATAAGACCAAAACGCATCATTCTACTCATGCTTTGCTGTTTTTATCATAAGAAAACATCATATTTGATTGATGTATGACTCTGAATTTTGAGGTGCCAACAAAGTAATTGCAGAATTGTTCACTCGCGTGGGCCTAAAGGCGATCGAGAACCTTGCAGGAAGCCCTATTTATCTTAACGGTACACCAGCAGCCGATGCTGACGTTACAGCCATAGAAGCTGTGAAATTGTGGGTTGATGAGAAGCAATATTACGACTACGACTCGATTTCATGTGTTCGTTGTGAAGTGTGCGGGCATTATGCCCAGATGGTTTGGCGCAACTCCATTCGTTTAGGGTGTGATAAAGTTAGGTGCAATAGCGGGGCTTCGTTAGTTAGTTGCAACTATGATCCTCCTGACAACTATGCTAACCAGCGTCCTTACTAGTTACGACCTTGGATTAGTTTACCAAGTGAATAATATGTATGTGAATATCACTAAGCCGTGTTTAGCTTACATGTCAACTTAATAAGTGAATGATTATTTCACATATTACATATTTTTTGAAATTTACTTTTATCTTTAAAAAAATGGTATTGTGGTAAATCTATTAGGTGAGCAATATTCGATTTAAATCAAAACATTAACCCGAACTGAAATATTATTTTAGATTTGATTTTAATTCAAAATGAAAAAAATAAAATAATTTTTTTTTCTATCTCGGTTCAGTTTTTGATATTTTTATTCGTTTTTTATTGAAAATCATTTTTGTACATTTTGAATTTTTTATTGTTATTTTAATTTTGATAGTGTAGTTTACAACATATTTAAAAAATCAACTTCTTTATTATTATATATTTTAGACGTAAATTAGTGAATTTATATTTAAATTTTGATACCTTATTATCTAATATGATTTTGTATTTTAGTCTTATTTAAAGAAATACTTATTATTTTCCATACAAGCTAATTAGACTATTTGGCTAGATAAAGGACTCTATCGCTTAAAACACAATTTTTTAAAGCCTAATTCCATTAGTTTTAAAAATGAAAAAAAAATCAGTTTTGATCAAAAAACCAAAATATTGATTTCAAAAACAGAATAGTAAGTCAGCTCGAGTTAGATCGTGGATTCGATTGACCAAAAATCTAATGAATATCGCCCGAAAATCTACCGAAGGCTAGCAATTTGTACTTTAGGTTCTAAATCCTACAATTAATAAATTTCTTAATTAGTAGTACTTAAAGCATCTTATAGAAGAAGAGAGCAACGATCATTATGCTTGATGAGGCAGACTTAAGTTGAGGTGCATCAAATGAGAAATCATTTAACAAAAATATTCACACATAATAAATAATAAAAAAAATTATATTTAATTATATCAATGCCATTGTATGAATTCATTAACTTTTCGATTTCCATATATGTAGCATCACTTGCATGAAATAGGTTAGAAGAGAACAATTAAGTCAAGCCACAATGAAAAAAATAATAATTTAATGAGTCACAAATATTGAATTAGACAGAAAAATAAAAAAATAAAAAATAAAAAACTTAAGTTTTATTACTTTTATTATACTCTCTCGTTCATTTAATTCGTGAGTTAAGTTAACGATAGAACATGTCTAACTTTTGATCGACTTATTTTTTAAACCAAATCAATTCAAACTTAGTACTATTAAAAATTTAAGATGAATATTTATCGATATATAATGAGAATTAAACTTTTGTTTCGAATAAACCAGAACAACTTTCTTATCCCCAAATTAAAGCGGTAAATCATTCTTTTAAGTTATCAATGCATTAACAATGACACAAACCAAACAAATATGATCTCAAAAAATTAAAATAGAAAAGCTATGATTAGATTTTATCAATTAGATCTATCTTATTAGGATAAAATGAGTTAAGATATCTTCACACGTACTATGTAGTTAGGAAAGGAAACCTAGCTAATTATGGCATTTCTTTGGTAATTAAGTACAATGTATCTATCCAATTATAATGTTTCAGCAATCCCCCATCCAACATGAAAGAGAGAAAAAAAAAAAGTTCTTGTGAAAAGAGGGGAGGAAGAAAATCTTGATGGGTGACCTCTTTCGTCCCATAATGCATTTAAAAAAAAAAAAAAAAAACCGTCATTATTATAAAAAAAAAAATACTAAAAAAATGGAAAGGGTGACCTGAGATTTTTTTTCACATATTTATTGGCATAAATTAATGGACATATATAGGAGAGTCAGTTAACTCGTAAAATTAATCCCATAATGGTGACTGAGATATTTTTGCATATTAATTTATCGGCATTAATGACAAATTTATGTAGCTACCGTAAGCGAAACGTACGTAGCTACCATTAATATATGTGGTACCGTTACACTTATATCTCTTTATTAGATGCCTAATAGAGTTTTGACTGCCAATTAATATTATTAATTAGGGCTTATTAAAATGAATATAGAGATTATTAATTAGCCAAAAGCTTTTTAATTATATTTTTCTAACATTGCATTTGTCCCATACGGTCCCAGTTTCCCCGTCGAAAACAAAAACCTATTCTATCCGGCATAGAAAACAAACCAATATGGAAATCGGAAAGAATTCAGTGGCAATTGCTTGTCTCATTGCCTTGGCCGTAATAATCCCTATTTCTCAAGCTCAAAACTCCAAAAAAGACTTCCTCATTGCTCACAACATTGCTCGTGCACAGGTGGGTGTTGGACCTTTGAGATGGAGTAAAAATTTGACAGCTCGCGCAAGCAGCCATGTTGAACCACTCAAAGGTGTTTGCCAACTTGCGTTCGTTGATGATGGATATCATTATGGTTACAACCTTGCAGCGATTGATCTTGTTGACTTTGCAGCCATAGATGCGGTGAAGTTGTGGGTAGATAAGAAGGCATACTACAACTACAAAACCAATTCGTGTGTTGGTGGTGAACAAGATTGCAAGACTTATACTCAGGTGGTTTGGCGCAACTCGCTTCATTTAGGTTGTGCTAAAGTGAGGTGTGATAACGGAGGCACACTCGTTGGTTGCGCCTATGATCCGCCGGGCAACGTTGCTGGCCAACGTCCTTACTAGCTAGTATTAATTGTCACCTTAGATTTTCACTAATGAATTATTAAGTGATAAATCAATATATGTATTATATCGGCAGGGACAATAAAAAGAAAAATAACAATCTAATTCAGTGATTCAATTCAGGGGAGGGCCTATTGGGGCACAATGTCAGTCTATTGCCAAATCACAAACACAACAGCCAATTAATTTTCACCAAAATTATCAGATGCATCAATTCGTACCATGGTCTCGATCGGTAATTATACATTGTTAGAATTAAGCAACTTGGCATTAGTTTTCAATTCTTATGTTCTAACGATCTGATTTCGTAATAGGCGTTGGTTTTTCATTTGACATAAAACTTGTTATAAATGCTTGTAAAAATTGATTTCTTAGTTAATATAGGACTTGCTTTGGAGTTTTTATAAATATACGAGTTTAGTCTTCTCTCATTTGTGTCTAGTACTTTAAAAAATACACTAGTACGTTGTCTATAGGCTGAGTTTACAGTAAAAAACAAATTAGAGTGTACAATTAGTATAAATTTTTTAAATAATAAATTAAAATATTGTGTTTTGATTTTTAAAATTTTTATATATTTAGTAGGGGAGTTTTGGACAAGCACAATATATAAATTTTCTTTTGACGATGAGAGAGGGTTTTTTGGTTGTCAGTGAAGCTCGATAACAATGATGTTGAAGCTAAGATCAATTTGATGTAGTGATAATCTTGATATTGCTGACTTTTTATGACAAATTTGTATGGATTTGCAGAGAGGGTGGGACAAGGAAGGAGGGAGGTCAAGGTGTGAGAAGCCATTAATTAGCCTACAACTTTTAATTTATCATTATAAGGTTTGTTTACTTTTACAATGGAGAGGAAAGGGAACTGGTGTGTTCATGTGGGTAACTAAAACTATTCTTTAGCTTTGGCATGTAAGGATAATTCATGTGCTTAATATAGAAAATAGGTTTAGGCAATGCCAAATCCAATTAATGAAGAGGGGTCAAAAGTTTATATTTGTCATTTTACTTTTGATTTTATACTACTTTGGTTCTTCAACTCTTATTTGCACTAATGCCAATATTCTTCTTTTAAAATTGTTTTTGTGTGGTCCTTCACTTAACATCCATTAATTAGAAACGATGCTAAATCCTGATGATCAAAAGAATGTAATTCAGTAATTTGTTATGGCATCAATATATATATATATATATATATATTCTTGTGAAATTATTTATTAAAAAAAATAGTGTGAGGTTTACCTTCATCTAAAAAATATATTGTGGAGATTCTTTCTGATACAATTAGAATATAATCTGTACATATTCAAACATAAATCCTATAAGCACCCGGCCTTAGCCTTTAAGACACTCCCTGGAGAATGGTTAGGGTGACTTGTTTGTTCTATTAAGCATTGATTATTGAACAAAATTAAATTTGGTATAAAGTAAGCCATCATGATCCTTTTCTTGAGGCTAGGCTGATGGCAACTGTTGAATAAGCATTATGATTTGGTCTACCTAGCCTTTCGTTCCTTCCTTCTGTGTTGATTTATTCATACCTGAAATGAATTTCGTTAGCTATTCATCTGACAACGGTCCTTATACATCTATGGAGTGAGAGTAGCATTTCCCAATATAAAAAGCTGGTGGTGGTACCTTTGCACAAGCATCCATATCAATATTTATTTTTCTACAAAAAAAAGTATGAAGAGCTCAATAATATTTTTAGTGTTCATCTGCTTCATCTTTCCTGTGAATGCTGCCCTTCCAAGCATTCTTGGCAACGATTTGATCGAGAAAACCTGCAACCAGACACCCTATTACGAACTTTGTATAAGATCTCTAATATCAAATCCTCACAGCTTCAATACAGATGTTCAAGGCTTAGCCAAGATAATGGTTCACACCATTAACGCTAGGGCGACCCACACACTACGTCGTATTAACAAGCTACTTCAACATAAACACGAGACAAATGTGAAACAAGCCATACGATCTTGTGCCTATCGATACTATGCTATAATAAAGGAAGATATTCCACAGTCTCTGCAAGCTTTACGTTTGGGTGAGTACAAATTTGCTGAAGGAGGCACAATGGATGCTGCTTTTGAGGCCGAGTCATGTGAAAAGGAATTCATGAAATGCCAATCACCCCTCGCTGACATGAATAGGGTTGTGCATGATGTCTCCATCGTCGCTGCATCCATTGTTAAGACAATCATAAAAGGTTGAGAACATTTTAACCTCTCGATCTGTTCCGCAAACTAAGGAAATATCGGATTTTTTTTTTTTTTTTTTTTTTTGAGAGTTGCAACTCATTAATATTTAGGTATAAACAATGTTTTTTGTTGTTTAATTAATTTCTACCCACCAGCCTTATTTTGGTATTTTGTGTGCATAATAAAATCGTATTTTGGAAGGATAATGTAAGAGGTTTCGTTTTCTTCTTTTCCCAGTTTCTTTTATGCCTTGACAGATGAGAATAAAAAGAAATGCCGTGTTCTATGATTTGGGGTGTGGAATTTTGATTTATACCTTGGTCGAAAAAATGAGATTGCTCTTGGACATGGACAAGCGTTCGTCTGGGAATTTTTTGTCGCTCAACTACTTTTTGATTTCCGTTCACGATGAAGCCCATTAAAATATATAAATAAGCACAAAGGCCCTATAGGCATAACCCCATTTTCTATTGTTGTCCCATACAGCCTAACACTCTACAGTCCAGGGGTATGTCGAGAAACCCAAACATTAAGCCCAAGAGCAAGAACCCAACAGCCTAGATTTCATCTGAACTAAATTCAAAATTCATGCCTTTTTTTTTTTTGGATAATAATAATAATAATTTTTTAATCTGAAAAGTAGTAATAACTTGCAAACTTAGGTGTAACAACATGCCACCTGGTAGAACTTTGATTTTCCTTTTGTATAAAAATAAATTTGAATTCTTTATAATTCTTTTTTCTTGATTGGCAATGCTAGGGAGGACAATTTTTCCAATAAAAGAAATCGACTGTTATTAGAAATTTTTTCTCATTCGATCTGATTTTGCATATATTATTTTTTAAAAAAATATTTAATCATGATGAAATAACTTTCAGCTGGCATTTGATATGATGATTTTTCAGAACTAGTAATATTATATTGATGATAAATTATAATATACTATAAGTTAAAATTCTAACAATATTTTAGAATTAATTAAGGTTTTGAACATTTTCCCAGATTCACACTCCATTTAGCCTTGCAACTTGAGTTAACTGAGGTGGTCACTATCCGTCTTCTAGTAAGACGTAGTAATTAAAAATATCTAGATTTGTGATCGTAGTTATATAGATAAGGACGAAATCAGTTGCGAATAATAGGTAAAATTAAGAATATGTTGTCCATGTATCCAATTAAGAAGAACCTTGACTATCCGTATAAGTAATTATAATTATCTATTAGCAGTATTAAATTTAAACTTATTTGATCTAAAAAATAATTTAATAGTTAATTAAAAACTAAACATGTTTTGATATTGATTTAACTGAAAAAAAATAGATTTAGTCTATATTGATGCGAAAACTAATTCAATAAAATCTTATTACCTATAAATATTTTAAAAAAAGTAATCAAGAAAAAATGGTTATAAGTTGATGATAAACTATTTATGAACTAGCTAAATTTTTTAGCCTTCCATGAAACATTATGATAACCTTTCTTTTTTAAAAAAAAAAAATCGAGTGATAATGAGAATAAGCAATCACCTTATTTATTTATTTTAAATTATTTTTATATCAATTTTTACATCAATCTAAATTGAGTTTATTATTTTTTTAAAAAACTAAATCCTATCATATTTTCTTATTAAAAACGTAAATTAATTAATTCAAGTTGAGCATGGAAAACCAAAACTCTTGTCAAATAATTAACACATGGGCCTTACCTAAAGGTGGCGGCCATCGTTGATCTTTTATCAAAGGCGGCTTTCTGCTGGCTTCCTTTAATCCAATGTACTTTTAAATATGTTCCACTAGCTACAAGACCATGATTTTTCGCAAAATAATGCAAAATGATGATGATGATGTTGATGAATATCAAACCTTCTATGGTATATACCTATATATAGCCCACATAAATGCCCCTTTCTCTTCATCAACAATAGCCCCAAGTGTCTAATTTTCTTCTTTCAAGAGAATCCAAATGGAGATGAGTAAGATTGCCCTAGCAATTTTCACTCTAATAAGCCTAGCCATTGTGCATCACTCCCATGCCCAAAACTCCCCACAAGACTTCCTTAATGCTCACAATGCCGCTCGTGCATCGGTGGGTGTAGGACCTATGAGATGGGACAATAACGTGGCTGCTTTTGCACGAAGCTATGCTAATAAACTAAAGGGCGATTGTAGAATGGTGCACTCCGGAAGCTCTTATGGCGAGAACCTTGCGTGGGGCAGCGCTGACTTAGCCGGCACGGCTGCTGTAAAGATGTGGGTAGATGAGAGGCCAAACTACGACTACAATTCTAATTCCTGTGTTGGTGGGCAGTGCTTGCATTATACTCAGGTTATTTGGAGCAATCCGGTTCGTCTAGGATGCGCTAAGGTGAGGTGCAATAATGGTGGCACAATCATCAGTTGCAACTATGACCCCCCAGGCAACTATAACGATCAACGTCCTTTTGAATTTGTATCTAGCTCTTAGTAAAATCTCTACTTACTTTGAGCATTGCTGATGTGATATGAATAAGTCTGTCATTGGCAGAAGATGTTGTAACTTTGTTATTGCGTGCAATGCAATTTTATCTAAGGTATAAATAAAAGGATGCTATCGTTTTTGTTTTTGTTTCTGTTTTTTCTTTTCCAGTTTTGTTTATTTATTTTTAAAAAATCGAAAACTTGTTTGATTCGCTAGTTTTTTTATTTTAGTTTTTTTTTCCCTCAAAAAAGCATTTAGTTTGAATTGGATATTTAGTTATCGAGACTGATTTGTAAATTCTTCAATTCAAAACCTGAATGCTCCTGACTCGATCACTTGGTGTCGTGGATCTAATTTCGACCTAGCACCTTAGAGCTCCATACTTGATCTTAACTCGATCCTTGGTGTTTGGAACTCGACCCTCAGACTCAATCCCAATCTGCACCATGGGCATTCTGGACCTGATCGCAGCCAAACAATCGAGCAATCCAGATCCAATCTCAGTCTTGAGGGTTAGTTATTAGTGTTAGAGAAGAGAAATCAAGATTATTACCCGGTGAGAAATTAATCTAACAATCACAACATAAATGAAAGGCTAATTTAATTTGTTCTTCTCTTGCATGAAGTGTAAATAAGTTGAGTATTTCTAACTTTATTAACAATTGAACTTGCAACTTCTTAAAAATTATTTAGAAGCCACACTCTACTTTAACTTGGAATTTCAATTTTTTGCAATCTGAATCGGAGACCATTAAACTAAAAGAAAATTGAATCGCGAAATCATCCATTTCTTTTTGAGTGAATTTGTGATGAAAGCATTCGCAAACATGCATGTTTGAGTTACATTCGTATGCTGTGATGATCCCAAAATTGTAATCCCAAAAATTTCAATGTATTAGATCTGCAACTTGACAAATTAAAATGATGTGCCTTTAATTGAAGACGATGTGATCAGTGCAGCCTGATTACTTTGAAATTTTTTTTTTAACCCTCTTAATTAAGAAAATATTCCCTAATATTCTAAGTTCTAGAAAGATATAATTATTTTTCACTAGTCCACTAGTATAATTGTTTTGTAGAAAAATAGTTTTGATGACAAATTTGCCTCCATTTTATTACGATTTCGTAATTTCATACTTATAGTATCAATCGTATAATTTGAACTCCTAAAATATTAGAGATAGGACAAATGTGATCTAAATTGTCTAATCTTCATTATGGGTAACGATCAACTTTAATTGGAATGCCAAAACGACATCGTTTTGACGTTTCGCTTTTAATTCTGTTTTTTTATAAAATATTTTTAACCCCCAAATCTTATTTTTTTTATTTTTTATAAAATATTATAAATATTTTATATAATATTTTATAAATTATATAAAAAAAATTATAAATATTTTTAACCCCCTAATTTTGAATTTTTTTATAATTTATAAAATTAGGAGTCAATCCTTAATTATGCTCATTTTAATTTATAAAAAAAAATTTAAACTTGAAATTGTGTATTGTTAATTATGTTTTTTTATAATAATATTTTATAAAAAAATTCAAAATTAGAAGGTTAAAAAATATTTAAAAAATATTTTTATATATATAATTTATAAAATATTTATAATATTTTATAAGAAAAAAGGTTTAAAAATGTTCAAGACGAAGAGAGTTAAAATATTTTTTAAAAAATATAATTAGTATTGAAATGTTAAAATGACATCATTTTGACATTTCGATCGTTATATATAATGAAAATTTGACAATTTAGATTATATTTATCTAATCTCTAATATTTTTTAAATTTAAATTATATAATTTGATATTATTGATTTGAAATTTTCAAATTGCAAAAGAGTAAGAATAAAATTTGTTATGAAACTGTAGAAGAATTTATGAGCGTTGTAGGCTTTGATCATGTCACTTTTATCTTTTAATTTCCTTTCCCCTATAATATTGAATCCTTCACATCAAGTAGGCTGCGGCTGCCGCAGCCCCTGGTTCTTTTATGACTATATTTTTTTTATTTATAAAATTAAAGGGGTCAATACTTAATTATATTAATTTTAATTTATAAAATATTTTTTAAGGTCTGAATTATTTTTTTTTACAATAATGTTTTATAAAAAAGGATTTAAAATTAGGAAGTTAAAAAATATTTATTTTATATATATATAATTTGTAAAATGTTTATAATATTTTATAAGAAAAAAATTATAAAATGTTTATAATATTTTATATGAAAAAATTTTTAAAAAAAATTCAAAATTTAAGAGGTTAAAAATATTTTTTAAAAAAATATATAATTAATATCGAAATATCAAAATGACATTGTTTTGATATTTCAAAAAGCGATCAACTTATGCATAATGAAAATTGAATCATTTAAATTAAATTTATTTAGCTTTTAATGTTGTGAGATTCAAATTATATAACTTAATATTATTAATTTAAAATTATAAAATCATAATAAAATAAAAATAAAATTTACAATTAAACCTTTGAAGAATTCATGAGCGTCGTATCTGATCATGGCACTTTTTTGCTTTTGATTTCCTCTCCCCTGTAATATTGAATCCTTCACATCAAGTTGGCTGCGGCAGCCCCTAGCTCCTTTATGACCATTTTTTTTTTAATTATAAACCCTCAACTTAACGGAAAAGCCAATCTACATGAATTCTTTATCTTAGCTGACAAGATCCGGAATGCATGCATACCTTGCAGGAATTGGCTGCTCGTATGCGTGGGTTGTGCTGATGTTGCTTTTGGGCTGTTGATAAAAATCTAGTAGATGATGCCGACCCATAACAACACTCAAAAAAATCCCAAATATGAATACTAGTTTTCTAATGGGTTTTGGTATGTAAATATAGACGTATCCTCTAGGGCTTTTATACAATTATACATAGACCTCCCTTCGGGCCTCTATATGACAAAGCCTATCAGACAAGTGGATCGAGATGCCGAAGATAATACTATACATTTTTCAGCCCGTTAATCATGAGTTTGAGTTTTGCTATTGGCCTTTGAATTACCGTGCTTTCTACCTCCAGTTAATTCAAATCCCAGAGATATTTAAGTTTTGGCTTCGTTATAGTTTTTCTAAGCATCTGTAGGTTTGAAGCGCACAATTAACATATTGCAGCTACCACATTTGTGATCACCACTTCTTCATACCCATTTTTTTATTACAAGGAAGAAGAAAATACAAAATGAAGAAAAGCTACTTATTCCTCCTATACTAGTTGTACAATTAAAATCTTCTAATACCACAATATTGTTAGTGGGGAGGGAAAGGGCTAACCTACGAATAACGCAAAGGTGATGCCATGGGAGTCCAAGTCTTTCAGTACATAACAACAGTTTATTTATTCAGTTCAGCCTAATTCCACGCATCAACTCTTGAATGATTCTTTGGGCACTTTTCGTTTACTCGGGTTTTAATTTTGGCACGGGAGTACTTGTTACTATTCATTGTTTCTTTGCCTCCAGGAAATTGGGAATAAATATCTCGATAATCTTATCAAAAACATTATCGAAAAATCTCTGATGGATTTATAATAAATTGGTAATTCAAATTTCCCTGCAGAAATAAAATCATAGCCAATTTGGTTAACTGCTTCCCGGTTCTTTCTAATTTTTAGTTTTGCTTCGTTCCGAAAAAGTAAGAACATGGCGTTTCTTTGATACAATGCAACACTTGCTAATTTTATAATTTCAAGTATCACCTCTTGGTGACCACGCAAGCTTTATGTCCAAGGGGGGCGTTTTGGTTACTTTAGGTTGCTTAAAATGGTTAAATGTAGTTGAAAATTTCTACATTGTTCCTATAAAAACCCCATGTAGCAGCATGCCTTAGTGCTCATCAAAATATTCAGGTACTTTGCTTCAGCATTATAACAAGAATCCAATATGGCTGTGCGTAAGATTTTACCTATTCTTGTCTGTCTCGTGAAGTTCGCCCTTCCTTGTGCTTCCTTCCCACGCCCAAAACTCACCACAGGACTACCTCAACGCTCACAATGCAGCTCGTTCACAAGTGAGTGTAGCAAATATTACATGGGACGCTGCAGTAGCAGCCTATGCTCAAAATTATTCCAATTTCCGGACCAGCGATTGCAACCATGTGCATTCTGCTGGGCCTTATGGTGAGAACCTAGCCAAGGGCAGTGGTTCTTTCACAGGTACTGCTGCGGTGGACTTGTGGGCGGCAGAGAAGCCTCACTATGACTATGCATCCAATTCTCGTGGCGGAGGGCAATGCTTGCACTATACTCAAGTGGTTTGGCACGATTCGGTTCACGTAGGGTGTGCCAGGGTCACCAATGCACCAATGGCTGGTGGTTTGTTTCTTGTAACTATGATCCCCCAGGCAACTATATTGGGCAGCGTCCTAACCAAGGAATCCCCTGAGTTGCCTAAAAAAATGCCACTATTAAGAGTATATAGGCACAGATAAACAAACAATTCAATATTTGAACGCTGTGAATAAGCGGTAGGAAATAATGTTGTCTTTGATGACTGAATGCTGATCTCACTCTAGACAAGACTACATCTTTCAATTGCTAAACCACCTTCTTGCTGAGTTGCTGTATATTTTGTTTGCTTCAAGCTGCTTATGCTGTTTTAACTGAATAAACTTGAATTATGACTGGTGGTGTTACATAAACTTGTATTCTTTAATCTTTAGACGGTAAGATTAAGGTGGAACTGACGAAAACAAATAAAATGCTATTAATCAGAGAAAAGAAGGAAGATTAAGCAAGTTGACATTCAAAAAATGTGAAAAATAACATCTTAAACAATACTGAACTTGAAAACCCTTTAGATGATATTATAACATTAAAAATCATTTTAATATCACAGTAAACTCACCTCCATACTGAAGTTAAGCTTTTCTCTACCAATTACCAAAATAAGATTTAAGGCATCTCGACAATTTTTGGCAGCTTTTTTTACCCATCATTTCCACCTAATGCAGTTAAAAGGTCGCCTTTGGAAAAACTTGGATGTTTTGTATTTTGAGTAAAAGCATGATATCATCCCAGCTACCATTAGACTGTCCTCATTATCACTTTTGTCGTCAGTTTCATACTCCGATAATGTTTCACTACTGCTACCAGCAAAAGGAATTGATGTTGACCACCAGCTATTGTAGATTCAGCAGCGGCCATATGATCTTCAGGGATATGAAGATCAGCAATACACCACTAAATTATGAACCTTTCATAAACACCAAGGCTGCAGCAATCTAAAGTTTGGTGGAGAGAGAGAGAGAGTCTTTGATTACCATTTCAAGGACTGATGATTCATTTCCAGTGAGCACTATATGATATGTTGGGTTCCTAAGAAACCAAGGAAAAAAAAAACGATAGCACAGAAAGGGAGATTAGAATGAAAGTACCTCTTTTGATTACAGTATCCTAGCACCAGCAACTTGAGTGCTTTCATTTGCCCAGATTTAGAAACCAAAACTTTCTTGAAAAAGTGAAATTGGAGTTTCCATTTTTGGGCAAAGAAAAGGGTAAAAAAAAAAACTTGAGAAAGCAGCGTAAGTTACAAAATTACAAAGCAGAAGATCATTAAAAAAAAAACATAATGATAATAAATAAATAAAATTAATGGGTCAAATGGGTGAGGTCCGACCCATTGAACATAGAATATTTCTGGGTCAACTCATTAGTGACCCATTAAAAAAATTGTACTGACCCATACCATTTAAAAAGTAAATGGGAATACATAGATGAGTATGGATAGGTTGATGGGTATGGGTTGTGTTTGACACCTCTACCAAGAGCCCAGGACTCAAGAGGCCTTCTTTTTTGACAACGATTAAAAATTATAACAGCCCATGGCCTTATAACATTGAAAATCAAGGCCCACGCGATTAAGTTATGGGTTTCTTTTTCTTTCCTCATTGAATAGTTATAGATCATTTATTCTCTTCTTCCCTTGACGCATCAACTGATTGGGACGTTAATGAGTTCAGAATTAGTGAAGGCTAAAGTTGCATACATGGAATGCAAATACGTTTCATATATGCCTGAGGTGGGAATGGGAATAAATTATTAGTAAACGATTTCTACATATTTATTAAAGATATGAAAATGAAAGTAAATTATAGCAAATTATTTTCTCTTCATGTATGTATCAGCGTCATGAAATTGGGTTGGAAAATGTAGCTACAGTCATCCTCATATTTTATCACATTTTCCTCGTTTCATAGAAAAGATCCCTAAAGTCCAAAAAGATCCCTTAAATTTAGTGATGGTTTTGAAAAAGAATTAAGGTTTTTTTTTTTTTTAATTATTCATAATTATCTTTACAATAAAAAATAAAAAACCTTACAACTTCATCCTTAATATACAACCTTTACCCTCGACAGAAATCTTCTGGGGCAGACCAAGGTGACTTATCATTGTAGTGACATTTTGTTAGTTTAAGGCAAGCAAGATGTCTCGTGCTACACATAATAAAAACAATTTTCACTCTCTTTCTAAGGTACTTTAATACCACATTCTTAACCCGTGAAAGTTTTCATGAAAGTTAGAGCCCCAAGTCTTTCCAACATGTTAAAAGGGACTGTGGATTCAGATAAGTTTGGTCTGAAATGAATGACTTCTCCAAGCTAGCAATAGTTTTACATCATCTTTTCCTCATAATATTTCCTCATCTTCGAGATTAACTCAAATGTGGCCGTCACAAGTGGATTTGATAAACATTCCCAGTCTTTTTTTGTTAAGAACAGCATGTCCCAAGGGAACACGATTGCAAACCTTGATATATATATATGCTTAGTCTAAAATAAGGTTGCATCCTATTCGATCCTTTAGTAAGGCCAATAGGTTGCTTTTCTTATAAGGATGGAGAAATTTCTGCAGATAGAGCTCGAAAACTTTCAATCTAGTATTAATGCAATATTAATGTTTATAATGATAAGCAAATAGTGAAAAAGGGAAATAAATCGCTACTTTTCTATCAATATTTGGGAAGAGAACATTCTTTTGGAAGGTTGTTTTGGAATCTCATGTTATCTTGGCAATAGTCATAGATCATGTGGTGCAACCTAACCCACTTGAGCCACCTTCTTTGTGTAGATGTTAATGTGCTATACCTGTCCGTGTTCCACCAATTAGTAGAGCTTTCTGCCCTGCAAAACCTTGGATTTCCATCCCAAGCACAAGCATCAATCTTGTAATTCCTAAACGAAGCTATGAAGGGACCCTTTGACCAATCAATTTTGTCTTTTCCACCCCGTGTTGCCCAGCTGTCACCATTCCATAGGCTGGCTTTGATGCTCATTGGCTGCCACCTAGGATATGCTACTCCTTTGTCTGCATGGTTTCTGTAAACTCTAATAGGAATCCAATCCACCATGAACCTGAAAGATGAGAAATAGTATGGAATATAATCCCTAAAGCTACCTTTTTTAATTAGGCTTGTTAACAATTAGTTAAAATGGCTTACACAATTTGGTGAAGGTTCCACAGGACGGAATAAGTATGGAAGTCTTTTGTTGGATCAAACCAGAGATAAATCCTCTCTTCACGATCATCATTCCCATCTGCATAAACATTTGTTTGAAGAGTATATGGCTGACCACTCACATTTCCAAGGAATTCAAAATCTATCTCATCCCGGTTAGGTTGATCCGATCCGAGCTGCAATATAGTCAATGCATTAGAAATATGCAATTGGACATATAAAAAGAAAATTAAACTAATACCTACAGAGGTAGTTAATTAATTTACTTACATAAAATGCCAAAACTGAGCCTGCTGAATGACCTGGTACTAATTTTATTTGCATATCGATCTGCCCGAATAAGAACATCTGGTTCGAAGCAAAAGCAGATCCTAAAAGAATAATAGTAATAAAATAAATGAGCACCAAGACATTTTTCAGGTTAGCTTTTTGTAGATTCTGCAACTCATACCAGATTCTTGGTCTAGTTGCAAGCTTCTTGTCCTGCCATCGGCAGAAGTTTTTACATGGCTAGGAGACCATGCTAGAAAGAAGTCCTTATTGAAATCTCCAGTTGAAATAACGGAGGAAAATGATATTCGAAAAAGATTTGTGAAGAGAAGTCCAATGAAGACTATGAATTTGAAAGTAGTGGACATTGTTTTTGACCGAAATGACAAGAATAGGAAATGCAATGTACAGGGAAATGGTTGGTTTGCTATATATAGGTATTGCATTACAAGGAAATGAAAATGTGAATAGGAAGTAATGTTTATGTTTAAAAAAGAATATCTTCAGTTACAAGCAAAGGAATTTTATGTTGTTAGCATCTTATTAGATATAATAGGATTGTTGAGTTAGTTAGATTAATTTCTATTAGAATGTAAATGGATTCTTTAAAGTTCAACAAATGAAGTAAAAGATTTCCAGTTTATTTCATGGGTATCATTCGTTTTCAGGTCCAATGAGTCACCTTGTTGGTCCTTACATACGACTTCATTGATGCCTCATGACCATATAAATTAAGGATGGTCCATCCATTAGGACTTAGGAGTTCTAGCATTGGAGTAAAAGAGTTGTCATTCTGTCCTCTCTATTAGCTCAACGATATTATTAGCATATAATTCTGTTATGCATAATGTGTAGTGACTTTTCAAATATCAAGAGTTAAAAGCGTGAAAGCATAGAGATGGTGATGACTAAGAATTTCATTCATGATAAAGGATACCTAGCTTTGGGCATACCTCAGGCTTTCTCGAAACTAAGAGCCTTTTTTGGCAGGAAGTTTTGGAAAGTGAAAAACTAGACTGGAGCTGCTTTCTTTTCTTTAGGGCTACTGTTTTAGGATAGCTTGGTGTTTAAAGCTTCCCTTCCAACTCGTTGAAGGACTGTTTTATTCTCTCCCTCCAATCTTAGGGCTACGTATCTGTTGACTTGGTTTCATACTTTCATTTCAGGCATCCCCTGCACACCAAAATGTCCCCAAGTTGGCCTAGGTCCTCTTTTTGGCCAAACCATCCTTTTCTCTTCTTAATTTGCTTTTACAAGCTAGTGTTGGCATTTCTTTTTAAAAATGGCATAAATTAGCCCTTTCTTCCATAATTTTAACCCTTTTTTTGTAACAAAATTACGTTTTACGCAGAAAATGGAATTGTGTAGCTTACTCTGAAATAAATAATGTTCAATAATAGTAGTCTTACGTAGTTGGCAAATCAACCATGCTATACGCAAAATAAATAAGCTGCCACTATTATTTCTAATACCAGGTATAATCATTGAGATTATTACAATTTGTTAGAACAACCATATGGAGTATCTTCAACACAAAGCTCAACTGAAGTAACGAATATTCACGCATGCCATCATTGTCCCACACCGTCGGCATTGAATTTCAGCAGTTAATTGAGAGCCGGATACTGCTATTCTTTATGCCCAGAGAACATTTTGTAGTAATAAACATGTATGCTTTATCATGTAGAAAGCAAATCAGCTGACTGTAGCTTTAAACCAACTTCAAATCATTCGATGAGCACTAATTAAATTTTATTTACTGGAAAAGTACCCATGAAATATAGGGGTAGAGAGAATACCAAACAGTAACTAAAATTTGTTTGCTTTTTAGCCAACGAGTTACCGTTGGTTTTCATAATAAAATACTGATGCTAAAATCCAGATGGTTAGAATGCTGAAATACAAATCTCTCCTCCAAATTAGAAAAAGAAAAACTTTTCAGGCTGCATTCTTCTCCACGTTGCCCAATGACTTGTTTTGGGAAGGAAAGAAATTTTTCAAATTGGATCTGTTCTGATCCACTACTGCTATACAAAAATTTTAAGGCACACGACTAACTGGAAAATCTTGAATTTTTTTTATCCATATTAGCCATACAGTCGTTTCCATTGTTCAAATAAGTTAGGTTCTGAGTGAGTGAGTTGGTTTCTATCTTTCCAAGAATGCTATATGGGCTAGGTCATCAGGTCAATGTCTCTTTGCCTTGTAGTTGTAAACCAAGTATTTCCTTCGGACATTAAATGACTGTAACAATAGGAGATACTCTGGAACTGTACTTCAAGTCTTTCTGGTTAATCTAATGGCAACTTGCAGGGGAAGATTTCTGGCGATATATGAGTTCTTTGTATTACAGAATCCTACGTACGGCTTGTTTCAATTGATGTGACCATTTTAAGCACATTGACCAAGCTCTACACCTTTTCAGTTGGTGATGGCTTTTTGAGAACTTGAATCCAGATACCAATGCTCTGTAGTTGTTGATGCTCTCAGCGTTTATACTAAAACTGAAAACTTTCAGGAACCATATTCCTGCTATAAATTGGTCCTATTCTTTAAACACTCATTCTTATTATCTCCGGATTAGAGGAATTCCAGAAGTAAAGCCAGTTTTGAACCTTTGGTCTCTACTTATTTTGGCTGTGAACTACAAAGAATACCTGCTCTTGAGATATGCTTTGTTCTGTAATTTAAACTTGTGCGTTCTCAAAATTGAAATTAATATCATATATACCAACATAATGCAACCAGAACAAAACTGAACACAAGAAAATCAAATCCAGAAAGGAATAACAATACCTTGGCATTCAATATGGCCAATTTTGTCTGTTTATTGCATGTTCGCTGATCATCACTGGTCTGCTTGGTACGATTTTGGCTACAGGAAGAGTAAAAGATTCCCAGATACATCAGAGATATAAAATGACAGAACGAGGCAGGACTGTACATCAATGCAGTGGCTTAAATTATTAAAAGGACAAAAATCATTTCTATTCATCTGCTGGGAACAAAAGCAGCTCATTTTTTTCTGACCAAGATCAAGCCTCAATTCTAATGTGAGTACAAATGAAAATCCATCTTTTTTTGTTACCTAAATTGTTTGCGCACAGTTGTATTACTTGATGAACTACAACTATCAGTTCGATGTCTCTTTTATCTCAATGAAAGACTCCATCCTCTGCACTTGGAGACATGAATTTCTTTTTCCACAACCAGAGGAAATGAGTAATAATGCATGAAAAACTATAACTTCAATTGGACAATTACATAGCTGTTGCACAAACATAATATAATGTAGCAGATTCAAGTAACTCCCCTGCTCTATAGCAAGTCAAAATTTCCTATATTCCCACAAATCACAGACCATGGATGGACGCTAGTAATAACACAAAAGAAGAACAGTAGAGAAAAACAAGTAAAATCTAGAAAAAGAGAATTACTAGACAAGTCCAATTCAATAGAAGCCATGTACCAGAAACATGAAACAAGCTAGAAAGGAAAAGACTTTACAAGCAAAAACATGCATGTATAATACAAAACCAATTAAGCTTACAAAACCAATTAATCTTAATCCTAAAGGAAGGGTAAGGAAGATTGTGAACAGACTAGAGAGCTCATGTAAAAGACAAGCTGCTCATAAGGCCATGAAAAACAAGTCATAATCAAATCCAACCAGAAGAATCTTGTGAATCTTTGTCAACTACTATCAAAGAAATGGTCATGGCTATGAAACATTGATCATCCAACATTATCTCTCATTGGCCCACCATAAGTACTTTGTTCCTTGCTTTCTAACCTTTCTTCAACAACTGGTCAAGACCAAGTAGATCAGAATCTTGTGCATCTTTATCAAACTCAACCGCCTGTCTCGTGGACCTGCCCTCTCAGAAGTTCCAATGAAACCAATCAGTTTCAAGATTTTTTTTAAGCGCTCATTTGCACTTCCATACAGTTCAGCATCAACATCTTTCTTAGGCCGGTATAGAGTTGAAAACGGGTTTCGCGATGTAAATAGGCCACTGTCATATACATTATACTGGTCATCAATTCCAAAACCAGTATCCATGCCTTTCTCCTGGTTAAACGATCTCTCATCATACATAACCTCTCCTCCTCTTCCATCACCAATCAGTAATAAGAGTAACTTTCTCACCGATATCGCAATCTCCATCTCTTGTACTCTTCCTCTTCTTACCAACCACAGCATCACCTTTTCTCTCCAACTTTCTTTTCCTTGCCCTCTGTCGACATCTCTTCACGAATTTTATCTTTCTCCCTCACACTTCCATAATCCCCTGATCCTACTGAAGCTGCACACGTTTTCTGTGATCGTTTCCTGGCCCAGCCCGCGCGCTTTCTCAGCAAGTGTGCGCAATTCCTGCGGTCTCCCTGTTCTTTTCCTTTACCATAATCTAATTATGCAATTTTGTTCTCATAGCAAGATATTCTCTAGAATTATGTTCTGCAACATAAAGTACCCGGCTAATTAATTGAAATCAGGACTAATTTGAGCATCCTGCAAACTTCTACCATCATCTGCCTATAGTATAACCCTTGGAATTCTTCCAATGGAGATACAAGGTGGGATTTTTCAGTCGTGTTGACAAGATCGCAGCGAAAAAAAAAAAAAAAGTTGATATTACCTTTCATTTGTTTCATTTGGACTTCATACCTTTCATTTTTCTTCATTCTGTGTAAATTTAATTTAATTTCTACAACTTATGAAATATTTCAATATTACTCAAAGGCTAAGAATGAACAAATTAAAATTAAAAAAAAACATTAAGGAAAGATTTTTTTTTAATAAAATAAATATGATTAAAAAAAAGTTATTTTCCATCATCATTGTCCAACAATCCTTTGTTAATAACCAGAAGATAATTAAGGTAAAAACTTGATAAAAATATGTTTTTTAATAACAATATCAACTTCTACTATTAGTACCTCTCATACACTTTCTTACAAGCATATCATATTTATATTTTTTTTTATCTAATTTTTCATAAAAATCTTGAAAAAAATTAAAATCCCATATGATTAGAATGGTAGCTTGAGTATATCATAATTTTGTCACTACCAAGTGTAATTATTTACACATATTTAAGGTGTTACTAGATGACATCATCAAAGAAATAAGGGGGAATAATGGTTGAAAAAGATTTCAATATTGAAGGTTTTGATAATAATAATAATAAGAAGAAAGAGTTAACCTAGTTTGAATCTTAATTTTTATTTAAATATAGTATTGATTCAGAAAAAAATAATGTTATTAAGTGAGAATTGAAGTTGGTGGGATTTGAGAATTTCTTGAAAAACTAATCCTCTCAAGTTTTATTGTATTTGTTTTAATAAAAAAATATATCATTTTTTTATTGATTTATGTTTTTGTTTTTGTTAATTTCAATTGGTTTTTTCTTTTTTTCTTTTTTTTTTTTTACTTCTTGAATGATATTGAGACATTTTATAAAATTTAAAGATGAAATTGAGATTTATTCATCCGACGGAATTAAATAGAGGGTGAAAATAAAAAATATAGAAACTGGTTGAAATAAAAGTGAATGATTTAGAAGCCTACTGGAATAAATGGAAAGGTGAGACTAATCGAGATGGATCAAAGATTTTTGATAAAACTAAATAAAAAGTGATGATTTGTTGATAAGTAAGTATTGATTTGTACATCGATTTAGATTCGATCTTTATGATCGATAATCTTAAGAATTTATTCTCAAAATACTCAAGATTTTACGTTGAGAAGCACCCTTTAGCTACACTTAGAGAGAGATTAGTCTTGATCTGTGTGAAAATTAGTCCGATGACATTTTTATTGTTGAAAAAAAAATTAGATAAAATTAAAATAACATACAAATTTTATGGAAACAAATTGAAATTTATTGGAAAAAAAATGTAAAGAGTACTATCAAAACATTTCAAGTCAGACTTGCAACGATCAAAAGCAAGACTTACTTCTTTACGAATATGAATGAATTTTGCTAATATTGTTCCCTGTCTTCCTTTATTTTTCACTAACAATACTAATAATAGTCTTTTTTAAGAGAGCAGGTTTTTAAGAATCGTTGAAGGGGACGAGGAATTGCATTGGGGGGCGGGCTGGTTTGGATGAACAGGTGATTTTTTCCTTTTTTTGGAACTATAACAGACTTAATTCACCAAGCTTGCACGTTTAATCTGTTATTTATATTCTATTCCATTATTCAATAACTTCGAAATTACGTTGTTTTAGTTTTATCATCACCCATGTTGCCCTAAGTAATCCATTAGCTTTTTTTAAGATTTCTTAAGTGGCATCAACAAGACTTAGGACGGTCTCAATATCTTGCTTTGCAAAATTGAACGCAAATGGACCAATTTTTTCTTGCTAATTGAACTGATCAATATCATCTATAAAAACATCAAAGTAGATGGTCATTGATTTATTCATAAAACTAATCATTAGGCAACTACAAACCTCGTGATTATAAAAAATACTTGCCTAGTCCAATAAAATCGACCTTTTGATTCAACTCTCTTTTGTAAATATCCTGAATTAAACTAATCCAACGGAAAATGATTAACATAAATTATATAAGATTCTGGACAAAAAAATATTGTAAAAAACGAGTTGGAATAAATGTCATGTAATTTATTGGACGGGGTTTTTCTTAACTCGAACTTCATTTGGCCACCCGCGAGTGGAGCAGGCAGCGGAGTTTCCTATCCATATAATCACGATGCCTCGTTCCTTTTGGCGCTACAAATAATAAAGTGTGTTTCGGTTACTATAGTTTAAGTAATGTTTCACTTTGCATCCTATTTTTTTAATGGTTCAATATCAGCTCTCTAGTTTCCAAAACATGCCTTCTATAGTGTTTTTTATTCTTCTTACGTTTAAAAGGTCAAATAGAATACATACAAAGACAGGAAACAAGAAATGAAAAAATTAATTACTATAAACACACTAACTTCAAGGAATTATTTTTTAATAATGAAACAACAATATTTCTTCTACTTTTTTCATTTTCTTTATTCTTATTGTTTCCTCCTAAAACTTCAAACATATGGCTTAGTAATAAGCATTGTTAAAATTTGATATTTTTTTGATAAAAAAAAATTGAAATACTAAATCAAACTAAACCAACTCTATTTAAAATTCATTAAATTTTGCTTATATTAATTTTTAAATCAAATCATAAAGCAACTATTTTATATGGAAAATGTGGATGGATTTTTTTTTTTTTTTTACTGAAACCAATAGTTCGTGCATTAAATCATTTCAAAAATAGGTTAAAATTTTAATCCAAACTAACTGGACATATAAAATAATTATTTCCACATGTAAAATAATTATTTTTAAATGGCAATTGTGGGTGAGATTTTTATTTAAAATATATTACTTTATATTGAATCAGTTCAAAATGGGTTCAAGTTATTAATTCAAACTAACTTGACAAAAACGAATGTATATAAAATTTCTAACGAGTTAAATTTTATTAGTTTCTTACAAATTTCAAACTAAAAATAATTAAAATTTTTGTTTATTATGATTATTTTTAATCATATTGACTAATATTAATTACTAGTTTAATTTAATTCAGCTTATTTTAGTTATTATCAATAATCCGAACGATCTAGTTTTTTTTTTCTCACCTTTACGTGAAGACTATAAAAACTCATGAAAATCTATAAAAAAATATTTCAATAATAATAATAATAATAATAAGAAAGTGCCCTCTATTAATTTTCATTGGTGGTAAAGGAGAGACACCATCTTGAATTTTTTGAAAAAAAATGTGAGGTTAAAATACAAAATAAAAAGTAGCAGTCCTCAATTAGAGCATTTTTAAACTATATGGACTAAATGCACTTGACCGAAACTCTTATTATACGATCACCTAGTAATTAGATCCCATCTGTACTTTACCAGTACCGAAGACGAAAAAATCTAACAAGTTGAAATAAACTATTAGTAAAAGAGAAGAAACTTCACAACCTTATGGCTTTCTACCTTTTCAGATAGGCCATTTAATCCACACAACCATAACTCCCACTTTTCTTGACACAATAATTACTCTCTTGTCTCTCAGTCTCCGTTTACAGGTACTTCATTCCCTAGTTTTAACTTTCTTCTTCTTCTTCTTCTTCTTCTTTTTTATTAGTATAATTGTTTTATTTTTATTCGCTAGTATTTCCATTTGCAAGAAGCTTTTTGCACTGTTTTTTTTTTTTCCCAATTTTGCAATTTTTTGTTTGCATTTGTAAATGTTAAGTGTTTTTGGAAGATGGGTTTTGATTGTGAATGTTAATGGATTAGATTTTGGTTGTTGATCTGTGGTTTTGCATGTTGAAGGGAGGTGCTTTTTTTGTTTCTAGATTTCATATTTCTGGTTAGGGTTTTCTAGGGTCTTTCACCTTGTTTTGCTGAAACTAGTTTGGATTTGGTTAATGGTGCATTTAATTGAATAAAACAGTAGCAAAGTAAATAAATTTGTGTTATTACAACTTGTTCTTATGAAATGATTGGCGTAAGATTTAAACCAAGAACAAACCATCAAGCCCCAGTTTGGTTAATTTAAAATCGATTGAAGTACTGGTGTTGGATATTTTTAAAGTTTTAAAGATGGAAATTGAAGAGAGCATGCTTGGCTGCTTGTTGTGGAGCATTGGTTTTCAGATGTGTCTTTGAAATCTGAATTAGTTCAGAAACCAGGCTAAACTGAAAATGGCGGCTGTCACTAAATTTTTTCAACTTTTTTGTGTCTGGTTGAGGAAGCTATAAAAATGGATATAGAAGCAGAGAATGGGCTCAGATTAACATGTGTCTTAACTGTTCTGGTATTGGCGTGGAAATTGGTTGACTGGTCAAAGAATTGTGAATTTTTGTTTCTTATCTCCTATAATGGTTTTTTTTTTTTTTTTTTTTCCTTCTAACATCAATAGTAGATTCAAACGGAGTAAAGTAGCTCTTATGGATTGGATTCCATAAACCGAAATGATTTTCTTGGGAAAATTTTGAAGCTTTGATTGATTGAGAGTTCATATTTAAAGTAGGTCAAAACTTCAATATAACTAAATTTAGTTGTGAATTGAAAAAAAGAACAAGCAACAATAAAACTGGTACATTAATTTCTTATTCTTATCTAATTGGTAAAATACTGGATTCAATTTGGATTGTGGCTGGTTTCTGAAACCATATTTGTGCAGGGAGGGGATAAGAGCTGTAAATTGGAGTCGATCATGATCAAGCGGTCGCCAAGTAGAAACCCCAGATCCAAAGGCATTAAGGTAAAACGTTTTCTTCAGATTTGTTTGTTGCTTGGTGTCTGCTTCTGGTTGATCTACCAAGTCAAGCACTCCCATGACAAGAAGAAGGAGCTTGAGGAGAATCTCTCTCTCAAAGCACAAAATCATGATGAGCTACCAAAACTTGGGAGGAAAGACCTCCATCCTGGTTTGCAAGAAAAAACTAGGAGTGAGAAGCCTGTGGAAGAAGAGGAAGAAGACACTGGAGTAGACGAGGAAGTAAATAAGAAAGAAGGAAATAGACGTGAAAAGGAGGAAGAAGAAGAAACCAAGCTTGAAAAAGAAGGGGGAGGAACTAAGGATGAAGAGTTGGAAAGAGAAGAAGAGCGTATTCATGACGAGGAAGAGAGAGAAGGAGAAGGAACTAATCATTTAGATAAAGAAAAAGAAGAGGAAATCAGGCATGAAGAAGAGGAGCAAAATGAAGAAGCAAAAAGCGAAGAAACTGAAGACAAGGGCAGAGGAGGTGGAGATGATGAGGTAGATGAACATGATCAAGACAAACTAGAAGGAGAAGCTGACCGTGATGAGGAATTTATGGATGAAGAAAGAGAGAGGGAGGACGAAGGTGAGGAAACAGAAAATCAAGGTACTGAAGGTTTAGATAATGAAGGCGAGGAAAAGGAAAGTCAAGGTAATGAAGATGAGGACAGGGAAGTTCAAACAGACAATGAAACTCAATCAGAAGATCAGGATCGTGATGGAGGCAGTAAGAATTCCCATGAGGCCCGAGAGGAACATTACAAGGCAGATGATGCTTCCAGTGCAGTTACTCATGATGCTCAAATTATAAGCACTGAACCCGAGAAGGAAGTTTTCGAGAAATCAAATGAAAAGTTGTATTCCATTAATCCTTTGGATGTTAATGGGGATAAAAACAACTCAATATCTCTTCTGGAACAAGCTGAAAACGGCCATCCTTTGAATGTAACAACTGATGGAAAAAAAAATGGTGAGATCATTCTGACCAAGTCTGAGGATGAGTCACCTAAGAACGCAACAGTTACAGTGCTGTCCAATGATCAATTAGTACCAAGCAATAAGTCAACGGAAGTGAGTTCAGAAGCTGGCAATAACCAGGCTGGTGCAAACCTTGAAGTTTCTGGTTCATCCCAGCAGAATGGAATGTTGAATGTCTCAGGTTCAACTCAAATTCAAAATGCAATGATTAATGGTCAAGTTACTGGGGATGTATCCAACCTGCAAACCACTCGGTTGGAACAGGTTAATAATACCATAGTTTTTGATAGCGTTCAATCTGATTCTAATTCAACTGTCCCTGTTCAAACCAAGAATGCAGATTCATCTGGCAATGGCTCCTCAAATTCTTCTAGTAATTCGGAGACTGTTGTATCAGATAAGACCATTAAGCCTGAAGTAACAACTGCAGGAGATGTGAATTCTGGGTTGTCTTCTGGAACAAATAAGACTGCAGAAGCTGCTCATGATGAGAACTCAGAAACAAAAATTGAATCTGGTAAAACAGATGAAAATACTGATTCTTCTACTACGAACAAGGATGTAGATGCAGTCGTGCATGACCCTATTGATTCTTCTGATACTTCAATTGGTCAAGAACAGACAGAGGCTCGCATAGATCTGAGCACATTGCCAGAGACTGGTACCGTAGGGCTTGACAGGGGAAATGCTGCAGAAGAATGAGATTCCTCTGAAATGCTCATGTGCATGTGAGTGATGTAAAGTTTTAGTTACTTTTTCACTCTGTTTTGATACGCACGTTGAGTGTTTACTGTTTATTGTGTTTCTAGTTGGCTTTGAAATATTTATCAGTGTTTAGAGAATACGGCTTTAATTTTGCAAGCAACAGTAAAATATAGGTAGGCTGCAGTTCAGAATGGGTTTCAATTTTAGTTGTACAATTTATGTCAGCTTCTGTTATTGTGCCTTTTTTTCTTTCCCGTTTAGGTCCTCGTTAAGCATTTTTCTTCAGATCTTGCCTAATGTGTGTGAATGGTGTGGTGATTTGAGTTTGGACCAAAATTCCAGAGAAAGCATGTTTTGTTTTGAAGGTCTTTGGAGTCGAGGCTGTCAGTTCCTTTTGTCCGTTGTGTCACCGATGTCAAAGATATTTCGTACCATTAGGAAAAATGGAATAAATATTCATCTCTTCCACATAATTTCAAATGTCATTTCAAATGGGCCAAAATGGGTTGAAATGTTTCACGAGCTGTCCCGTTTCACTAATTGAAGAGAGGCCTTTTATTAATTTTTTTCATTACTTCACTAACGCACACTAACTGCAATTGATTCAACTTAATTATGCATAAATTTTACTAAATCTCTTTGCTTGAAATTTATGAAAATTTAATCTATTTTGTATAATAACACTTTCTTTTTCTAGAGGTGTGCTAACAATATTCTCTTTAACATTCTTTTAAATACATATTTTATAAAAGTATTCATCTCAAACTTATTTGTATTTTTTTTTATTTATTTATAGGTAGTGGGTTATCTTTTTAGGCTAGTTTTTTAATTAATCAAAATTAAATTTATCACTTTTTAAATTAAGTCAACACAAGAGCATGTCTAGATATTTTTTTTTTTAGACCAAATGAGTTCAAACTTAATATTACTAAAAAATAATTATAATTAATTATTCGCAGACAGTGAAAATTGAATCTCTATTTTAGTTAAATGAAGACAACTCATTTACTCTTAAACTACATCTTTTGGTAACTTTTTTGTATGTCTCCTACATTTAAGAAGTTCTTGTAAAATAATAACGAACAAAAGATAAATTTCTAAAAAAATTTATATTACAATCAATTATATATCATATGAAAAAATAAAATACTCTTTATTTATTTGTTTGGCTAAGTACGATGACACTGTTTTATAATTAAGATTTTATCATAGTTCTTTAGGTTTGAATCAAATCTATTACTAGTAAAGCGTCACTAGAAATGTAGGAAATAAGCATTCTAGTTAAATAATAGATTTGATTCAAACTTGAAGAATCAAGATAAAATTTTAACCATAAAGCAAGATGAAATTTTAACCATAAAACAGTTATCCTACTTAGCTAAATAAATAAAAAAAGAGTATTTGTTTTTTAAATAATATGAAATTAATTATAATTTAAAAACTTTCTAAGAATATAAAACATTAGTTATCTTCTGTTTGCTATTATTTTACAAGAATTAGTTAGATGTAAGAGACATATAAAAAGTTTGACGTGAATATTTTTATTTTATTAAACAAATGTTTAAAATAGAGTTGCTAGCATTTCTCTTTTCTTTTTCTTTTTAAGTTTTCTTAAATATATTTAAAGTAATTTAACTACATATTTACGTTATATGTTAATTTGTGTATATATATTCTAAAATAACAGTACGTGATAAATATTTATTTGGAGAAGTAATTTAATTAGTGTTATGTACAACCTGAGATAACGTTCGCATAAAAAATAACATCTATAAATATAGAAAATTATTTTATACATTATAATACTAATTCCGAAATAAAACACTGAAATAAATTGATATCGAATTACTTTTTGTACCAATTGAAAATCCAGAACATCTACAATAATGGTATTAACAATTTTGCTTTCGACCCGAATTATTTGTTGCTTTCCGTTTGAGCTGACAGGCAACTATTATTATTTAAGCAGACAGTAACATGGAGAGGCTGAGAGGGATACTTCAAGGGTACTTCTTTAATTGAAAACACACCAGGTCTTAGACTTTAAAGTTCACAATGAAAGGGATTAGCCAAATTTGCAACTCTTAAAAGGTTTAAACGTTTTTAAAAGGGAACTCTTTTTTAATTTTTTTCCATCAAATCACCGACTAATCATTTCTCCTTTTTAACAATGAATCTTGATTTATTTTCAGAGCATTGACAAACTCCCAGTACTGCAATGTGCAATGCAACTTTTGACTTTGCCAATATTACCAAGCAAAATATAAGGAAAGAAAATAGACTTTACTGATGGGTTGCTAAGGTACGCATGGAAGAGACAGCATGATAGTTTTTAACGCCTCCAGCCAACTCCAAGCAGCGTTAGACAATTTCGCAGGAAAAAGAAGTCAGTATCCAGACAGACAGAATTGACATAATCCATATTTTTCTAAAACGAACATAACAAATTGAACAAAATTTGGATAATGCTTACATAGAAGGTATTTATATATTTGGTTTGCGTGTTTCGACCTTGATACAACAGTCAACAGATTAGAATCGGAAATTTTATTTTCCATTTTTCACTTCTAAATAATATTCTTAAGTTGGCAAAAAGAAATTATGAAAATCTTATTTCTCCGTTCTAACTTCAGAATCTTGACAGCCTCAGTCAGGTTGGGCCAAACAATTATTGAAGATTTCTAGTGTTTGACAGTCACCCACAGGACAAAAGAAAAACAACTGGAATTCGAAATCATTGCCGCCTTGTACAGATGCAAGTGCCAAGGTGGAGGTTGCTTTGTTATGCCCACCAACGTTGGATTCTCTCTCAAGATAAACTATGTACTAAACGAGAAAATGCACATAGCACAAGAAAATAAAATTAAAAAGAATAAAAGCCGTGCCTTGTCATTCCTCACTGTACAAAAAAATAATGCATAACATCCAGATAAAGAACTGTTGTTAGTTTTCTAATCAGCCAAAAGAATCCAATACCTAACCAACTCATCTAATCTCCTCTCAAACGACAAATCAATCTTCACCCCTCACAAAAATCAAACGACAAAACTCTGACTCGGTCTCAACTCTTTCCTTAGCTTATGAGTAAAGGATTTACAAGCATCCACACTTAGATCCACAGCTGCTGCTAAGGCCACAAAGGCAGCCGCATCCTCTGTGCAATTCACGTGTTGCACCCCAATCTCCACCTCTGGCTTACTGCACTGCCCATTTCCATTGTCGACACTTGATTGCATTACAAAACCTTTGTACACCAATGGGGACAGCAACCCAAGACCAAACTCGGATCCGGACCACGATCCAGACCCTGGTCCTGATCCGAAATCACAACTAGAATGTGGACTGCTCACTGGGGTGCTAACACTTTTTGTCATGTCAATGGTGAATTTCCCTCCATTTTTTGCATTAATGACTGAATTGACTAGTGTGGTGGTGGTAGGGGAGGCTGAAGCAGAATCATGTAGTAGTTCAAATCGGTATCCTAAAGCGTTGGCATGACGATCACGCCATGCCTCCAGGCGGCCCCATGGCTTCCAAGCACCGTTTGATGGGCGAAGAATTAGCCATGCCCCGGGATTGGACTGACTAACATGGTCTGAACCTGGGGATGGCACAAATGGTGTCACCATTGATGCCATTGCAACAGGCGATCCAGATAGGTCGTGGATTGTGATTGACCATCCCTTTCGCTCTTTTGCTGATGGATCTTTGTCTGTTCCAAGGGAGGGTAGCCAATTTCTTGATGGGGTTGGTTCTGTCATTGATGGCCTGCACAACAAGAACGTAGCAAAATCAGTACCAACTTATGAACAAAGGACAATGATAATTAATTAAAAAGACAACAGTATTGATTAACGTGACAAAACTCAGTGTCCAAATTCTAAAAATTTGAATTTTTTTAGATGAGTGGGTCATAGGATAGAGATTTCTCCTGAAATAACCGATTACCGTTTGTAATCGCATCAAAACAAACAGAATGAAGCAGCTTTTGCTAACAAGCTGGTTATGTCAAAACAAGGTTTTGGGAGTTCAAAAAAATATGAAAGATCTCTAGATTAATTTCTAATATTATATTTGCATATTTGACCATAAATTAAATGCTTTCACTCAGTTAAGTTATGTCAAGTCTTCTACTTTTGGAAACAAGGACCAAGGGATTCAATAGTTAAGTTATTTCCTCAGCAATTACTTTCTCATCAACCAAACACATAAACAAATCAATAACAAAAAGAGAAAACAATGATAAATCAGAAAACTCACATAGAAACCAAATTACGATCCCCAGGATTCCTCAGACTGAACTTGCAAGTGAAAACAGCCTGCCTAACACTCCCTTGCACTTGAAAAACCTGAGGACTACACTCAGGATCCCCACCGAACTGAAACACATATCTTGGATCAGGCTCAACTCTAGCGCACAAATAAAACTGTGTGGATTCTCCTTTCTTGTTTTCTCCAATATCAATCCATCCATTGTGCATAACACAAGGCCTAGACTCTGCCTTTCTCATGTCTAATGGCACAGTCACTTTTCCCAACAATTTCCCATCTTTCAATCCACAAGTAACCCCGTTGTCCCTACTGTATACTTCAATCTCCAAACTCTTCGGTTTCTTGCAAGACAAAAAGTTATCAATATGTGCCTTGTCAAGACTATAACATGCTGCTAAGGAATTCGATAAAAAATTGCCTTCCGGGTTTTGATTTTCTTGTTGTTTTTGATTGTTCACTAAAGGAATTGTAGCTTTTTGAGTAGGGAAATTCTTGAGCTTGATCTTGCAAAAACATTGTACACTTAACAAAGGGGGTTTCGACGAGACAGGAAACTTGAGTGCTAAGTTACCAACAAGGATCCGTACAAAAGGGCACGGATCCATTTCTCTTTCGAGAGATTAATGGTTTCTGAAAAGCTTAAGTGAAGTGGTTTTGGAGTTGGTGGTTTATTGTTGCTGCCTGAAGAGAAAGGGAGGAATGGTGGGTATTTAGGTGGGAGGTATATAAGAGTTGCCGACTGAAGAGAGAGATGTGAAGGAAACAGGCTGTAATATTAGCTGTGTTTTTTAAGGATAAAGGTTATGAGACGACGAGGTCAAGCTCAGGACACAGCTGTGAGCTCTTTTGTTTTCTAGCCAGACTTATATTGAGATACAAATAATTCCATAATTGTTGAGATTTTTGTTCATTTGAGGAAATAAGAACAGCTGGAAATTAACAAAATCATTAAGGAAATGATATTCCATGACTTACATTGTTTTGCTACCTATTTGGTGTGATTAGATTGCAAAATCATGAACATCGTATCGTATTAGTAGATTGAAATCCTCTCATATTAATTGTCGGTTTTGAAAACAAAATCTCAACTATTTCTTTCTTTTTTTATTTTTTAAAAATTTGATTCGCATTATATTAATTGAAAGGGTTGAAAATATCTAGATAAAAGATTGTCTTTTAAATTTATTTAAATTCTTTGTTTATCCAATCAAATTTCATTCCTCAAAATTTCTCTATCATATTTTTTTCCTCGTCATTCCAATTATAAAACTCATCATATCTATGGTTTATTACATATATAAATCATATACGAGAATATGTTTAGTTAATCTACTCCATACACAATGTTTTAATTTAATTTAATTTGTATATTGTCGTTCATGATGAGCTCCTATTTAATTATATATCATTCTTACCAAATTTATGGCCGGGTTGAGGTTAATCATGTGATTATGTTAGTTATTTGCAATGTTGTATTTATTGTTACCTTCTTTCTTTTTCTTTTTCTTTTTTTTTTTACTCATATTTCGCACGATTGAAAATGGATTTTGAAATTATGATTTAAAAAAATGTAAAGAAATTAAGAGTTTAAACTGTTAATTATATCTCGTGCCTTTCGTTCAGATGGTAAATAGTAAAAGCCGTAAAGTTGCTTAATTAACACAACATAAAGTTTTTTCTTTTTTCTTTTTTTCTTTTGAGTATATAAAGATTGAATGGCGAAACTTCAAAACAAAGTGAAATACTCTTCCTGAAAATAAAAAACAAAAACAAAGTGGAATATTTTTAAATAGTTTATTTTTTTTAACAGTATCGATCGAGTCCATTTTTTGGTAAAAATGTGGAAGTCTCCACCATCTCGCAAAACTTACACGTCCAAATAAAATAAAATTCGTCTAAGGTCCGACTTTGTGCAATTAAAAAGCTGCACGTATATACTAACTTTCAAATCGAACTTGATTATTTTTCATTAGTAAACAAAAACTGATTATTGCAAAAAAGAAAAAAAAACATTGATTACCATTCATTGTATTATGTAAAATATTGTTAACCTACACTCATTCATACTATTCATCCGGATTGAGATGCATTATTTTTTTCATTATGCAATAGTATTTTGTAGTTTTCAAATATTATTACGATATTTATTATGAAAATTTTTATGATATTACACTTTGATCCTTATTTTTAAAATATTATTTTTTAGTCTGTAAATATTTTTTATTTAATTTTGATCTCACTTTTTTGTTTCATTTTGATTACTTTGATCCTTGTTTTTTTTTCCTCTCGATTTTTTAATTAAACATTTTAAGGAAAAAAATATTTGGAAGAAAACGATTTACAAAATAAGATTTTAGCTAAAATATAGATAGAGACAAATAAATAATATTTTTTAATAAAAAATTTTAAAAAAATATAAATAATTATTAGTTAAATACAAAATTTTGATTAAAAAAATGATAACATTAAATGAATTTTTATTTAGTTTTGATTTGATATATTTTAGTAGACATAGAATATAAAATGGAGCATTAAAATGAAATAATTTTATATATTTTATCCAATTTGTAATGTAATGTGAATAAAAAACACAATTTTTTTCCTAAAAAGCCCATACAAATAAATATTTCCGATCTATATCCTTTTGTTTTTGAAAATTAATCAGCACATGAAGCCTTCTAGCTTGTATAAAGAATTAATGCTTATTTGAAAGAATTATGAGTTGCACATCATGAATAACAGTGACTATAATAATTAAGATAAATTATGCATCAAAATCTGAAGAATAGATAAGGTAAGGTCGCATAAAATAGCAGTGATGGTGGAGGCATCTTATTATTTTCACAGGCGTTAAAAAAAGCTTTGGCATACGTGGCGAACTAGTTGGGTGGGGTGAGCTGGCTCACACTGCGCACGTACACTTAGTTACTAGATGCCAGTGAAGCGCATCTCTGTGAATAATTATTCCTTTTCTTTGTCGTTTTGCTCTTCCTCTTCTACACCAGCAGATTTTTGGAATTCAGCACATTAAAAAAAATTGAAAATTTACAGTGAGGGTTCGTTATTAACTCATTATTTATAGTAAGGTTTAGTTATTTACTCATTATTCTATCCTCAATTTTAATTGAAAAATTAATTGACACAGAAATTCATAACAGATCTGTATCTTCAATCGGTTACACTTTCATGTGATAATCAAAAATGTTGTTTGTACGTCTTTAAATGTGAGCTAGCTAGACACTAGAGATTTTTTAAAACTGAAATCTCAGTACACATGATCCAACTATATGCTTTTAACTAATTATAAAAGAAAGCAAGAAAATATATGCATTTATTCTAATCAGTTTTTACCATTTAAGTCAATATTCACTCACAGTCATATTAAAATTATGTTCTATAAAAAACACCTGATGTTACCATACATTTTAAATAGAGTTTTTTTTTTCCTTGTGTGCTATAATATATATATACTTTAAAAATTAATCTTCTTATCACTATTATAAAAAATTATTTTATATTTTAATATTTTTATGCAATTTTTTTTTAAATTGATTTTTTCTTTATTTTTTTTCAATGCAATCTTATAAAACGAATAATTAAATTTGAATATATTTTTAGGAATTTTGATTAATTGAATTGATGAATAAAAAAAATCATGTTTTTTAAGAAGGAAACCTATTGAAAAACAAGAAAGAATTAATTATGCATAAAATGTGATTAAAAAATCATAAAATTAAGTGAATTTTTTCTCTTCAATTTAATGGACCTATAAGTTGAGAATTATCGAATTATTATAATTTTTTCAAATAATTTCACATACTTTGCTCAATCGAAGAATAATTCGGACAATCGGCTAGTTTAATTTTAAAACAATTAAACTTGTTTACAAATTCGAGAAAAATACTATATTTACCAAAAAAGGACAATTATTATGAAAACCTTATACGCTAATATACTTATTCGTATAATTCGGACAACAATATTAGCACACTAAATACTATTTATAGTACTTCATTTTTTTCCTATGATTACTAAGGGATTTGTAGTTCAACCACACTCTAACAAAGCAAAACAAGTAAAGAGATGATTTCTTAACTGTTTTATTTTGTGGAGCCTAACTCAAATCTAAATATTGTTGCAAACTTTTACCAACTAATTTGTAAAGAAACCACTCTTAAAGGAGAGTTTTTATTTTTTATTTTTTTTTACATAAAAGAATTTATCCTATATTAGAGATAAGACTAATCATATTCGTAACGTAAACGAAAAAATTTAACTGTTCTTTATAAATGCAATTTGAATATTTGAATCTTGTATATTAATAAAAGATTCATGTGATAATCAACCCATTTACTATTAGAATAATAATTTATTGGAAAAAAGAACTTTTAATTAATTTGAGTTTTGCTAACCAGCCGTTAATGTTGGTTCTCCTTTCATGCGATGTCTTAGTTTATCTGCGCAATTTGTAATATAATGATAACAAATAGCCCATTAACTCAGCAGAATGATCCTCGAATTATTTAGATGGTGACAATGCCCCTCAAATTTGAAGAAACCTCGGAGTATGTACGAGGAGGATCCTTACAATTACTTAAATGGTGAAAGCATATCAATAGACTTAGCTAGAAAGGGTCAACAATTCAAGGGCAAGTTTATTTGTTTAGTTTTTTTTTTTTTTTTTTTTTCGGTTTCTTTCTTTCTTCCTTTTTTCTTCTTCTTCTTGTTTTTCTTTTGTCAACATACAGAGCGATATTTGAGGGACATGTCGGATCAGAACTGGAGCACAGCTGTGGCCACTCAAGACTTGGGTTGGACGGTACTTTGACCCTAACCTTCCCCCACAAAATGGAACGGCCTTCGCCTGGGGCCCACTAACAGCCATCTTTCCTCTAATCACGTGATTTTTGGTGGCTTTTGGACAGTCCCAATCCATCTTCCATCCCATTAGATCTTCTTTTTTCGTATTCTTTTCACCTTTTTTTTTTTTTTTTGGTTCTTGTTTGCGGGACATCGAATCTTTGAATTGCATCACACGTGCAATTTTTTTCAAGTTTATTGTTCTTGTTCTTGCCTTTCTTTTGATTGGCCAAAAGATGCCACCACTTTGTGAAAGTGGTGGTGGAGAGGAGAAATTGTCAAACTATGATCAATACAAAATTATTGGCAACTATAGCTTATAATTCACAGAAACATTAGTGTTATTCCTCGACGTGGCATGACTATTTTGTTTGCAAGTCTTGATTGAAGATCATTAGTTCTTTAAGTGGATGAATTCGAGACAAGGTTGTTACCGATGAGCCAAGCTAGTTTATGGCACAGAATTTATGGCATGTAGCTCCCAAACAAAAGGTCGAATAAATACCTCATTTTTAAATTGGGTCGTGTAGCCGTCCATTCAGAGCCACCTGCCCAATGCGTTTTCAATTTCTTGTTTTGTCCGTTCTTTAGAATGAAAAAACATTTCTTGCTATATTTTTACTGTATTTTTTTTATGAGTTAAAGAAAAGTTGCTTTGGATAAATATTGCTTTACCGGTATCTTGAGATTATTATAAAAAATCTTTTCTTCTATTCTATGGACTCACCAATTCAATAGATGAGATTTTTCGCATAATAATTTCAGAAATTCTTTTTCGATAAAATTATCGTTGCTCATTTTCTTTTGTAACAAAAATTAAACTCGTTTGAATATTAATTAGGGCCTTCTTCCTTTCAAACTTTCTCAAAGATACTAGGAACTACCAAATAATATTATGAAGTATAATCTACTTCGCTAGCATCATGTTTTATCTGGACGACACGACATTGTCATTAGAAATTTACCGTTCGTATTCGATTCTAATCAGAGAAAATTGGGTGAACGGCTTTCTCCATCCAACGGATATACGTTGGATATCAAATTCAATCTGAATTCTTTTTTTTAATTAATTTTTATAAAAATAAAATTTAAACTTTAAAAACAAATTATGTTTCCATCCATGAATCGTAAAATTATCAAAAAGAGTTTAAATTTTAAATTTATGAATCATAAAAATTCTCGATGAATCATAAAATAAAAATCATTGTATTACATTAAAAAATAAAATTAAAACTTGACAAAATAAAATAAAAAATAAAAAAAACGAGTTTGGAGCTTATCAGGTGATGAGACGGGTGAATCCCTCACCTTTATCTGCTAGACCGGATTTTATGTATTTTCGATTTGATTGCTATCGTAGTGGATAAAAATTTAATTGGATCACACAAGATAAAATTATCATCTTTAATTGTCATAATGATGATAATACATGCATCTCAACCTCTCAAAACTTAGTTTGTGTTTGTCACTGAGGGTAGGTTGTAGTTATAGTTATAGCGGCTGGCTGTAGCTATAATGGTAAAAAATAAATTAACTAAATAAATTAAAACAAAACCTATTTCAAATACTATTCATATACTCACAATTCATTATTCATTGGTTTTTTACGCTTTGGTTCTTGATCTTTGCCAACTAATCTTTCGATCTATATCTTCATTTGCTCATCCATTTTGATCCCCGGATGAGAGAGAAGGAAGGAGGGAAGAGAGAGACGGGAGGAGAGAGAGAATCACCGGCTAAACTTATTTAGGCCCCTTTGGTCGGAGAAAATCTACTAGATTTGTTTATCTTTGAGAGATGAGTTTGTCTATGATTATTTCAAGCCATTAAACCATTAGATGAGGTAGATCGGAGCCAAAAAAGAAAACAAAGTTTCGATTTGATTGTGTAATTTGTTTTTTTTTTATGCATTAAAATGATTTTTAAGGTTTTAGATATATTTATTGGCTTTATTTTGGTCATTTAGAGGTGTTTGAAAAAAAAAATGATACCAAAATTTAATTTCTAGGGGTCCGAAACTTGAACCTCGACTTTCCGACGACCTCGATCGCTGAAAGTTGTAGCCTTTTTTTTTTTTTGCAGCCCAAGCCTAACTTGCAGGCTCGAGATGCTCGACCGAGCTCGACTCGTAGGCTCGGCTGTTTTTTTTTTCTTTTTTTTCCTTCTATTTCGACTTAGGAAATTTTTATTTATTTTGGTCCCTTCATTCTTTTCTTTTTTTTTTTAATTTTGGTCATTCATCTTTTCGATCTTTGATTTTTATCCCTATCAAAAATATTAAAATTTTATTATATGTGATTTTAATCCTTATAATAAATTTTTTTTGAACTTTTAGTAAAAATTTACGTTTTTTTCTGTTTTTTAATATGTTTTATTTTAGTTATGAAAATTTTCTTATATTTAATTTTTATCCTTACTATGCCAAAACTAAATAAAATTTACTATCCTAAGGTTTTTTTTTTTTTTTTTTACTGAAATTTTCTTTCTATTCTAATTTCTCTTTTGTTATTTTTTCTTTCTTTTCATCATTAAATTTAGTAAAAAAAAATATTCTTTTTTTTGTAATAGTTTTTTTTATATAATTAAATTTTTTTCCTGCAAGGAACTATTTTTTACTTTTAATAAAACTTTTTGTTTTATGATCTTTCATTTATTTTGATCATTAAACTTTTATTATATTTAATTATTAATCATTTTACATTAAAATTAAATACATTTTAACTATCCTAATTTTTTTTTTTTTAGTGAAAAATTTTCTTTTTTGATTCTTATGTTATTAATTTTTTTATTTTAGTCATTAAAATTTTATAATGTTTACTTTTGTTCCCGCCTTATGCATAGTGAAATTTTTTTAGTCTTATTATTTATAAGTATTTTTTGTATGCTTTTAGTGAAAGTTTTTCTTTTATCTTTTTATAATCTTTACTTTGTTTTAATCATTTAATTTTTATCATGTGTAATTTTATCTCTATTTTCTTTGCCAAGTTCTCAATTTGACATAGCTTTTTTATCTTTTTGTTTTGAGTGATATCTCTCGTCTCGTTAATAAATTACGGATGAATAATATATGGTAAAAATTAATCATTAAAAATTTAAAAAACTACCACATTATTATTTTAATTATTTGCTATTAATAAAATACATGTTTATATAAAAAATATCTAATTAGCAATATTATATTACTCAACTTTACAAATTTTTCATTAGCTAACCCTATAGCAAATTATGAAATATATGTTTTAGTTTTTTTAAAAAAAATTATTTTTGCATGATATTGTCAAATAATGATTTGTAAATGTTAAATTTTATATTAATGAATGCATAAAAATGATATATAATTCATCCCGAGACAACACACGGGATATATACTAATAAATAAACAAAATAAAATATATGATTGGAAGTATATAAAAAGCCGTCACCACAGCTAAAAAGCTCCAAAAATAAAACTTTTCATTTTTTTTAGCCTTTCTAACATGTGACCCACGTGACATCAACAAATTTAATTTAATGATTATGTATTCAATTAATTTTTTTTCATGAAATAAGTTTCGATTTCTAATAACTTTAATTTCTTTAATAATTATATAATAGGTATAACTACTCTTATTGTATAGTTCAATAGATTCATTGGATATCTCGTTAATAATAATTTAAAAAAAAAAAACATGAGACCCACATGAATATCACATAAAATTATTAACCAAATAAGGTGGTATGACTTTTCGAATCAAAGGTCCCAAAACCCACCACTATCCTTCACCCCAAAAATAGTAATTTGCAAGGAGCCACTCTGTTCAACTGAATTCTTCATGAACTAGATAACAAGGTTAAGCCATCCCAGAACACATTATGATTTATGAAGTGCCTTGTAATTTCTTTTCTTTGATGAATGGATAATTTTTTTTTTCTGGAGCTGTAATGCAGGGATAGCTAGTTTAGGCCTGGATACTGTTACTATTATCTCCTTGTTAGTGTACTGCCTTGACCCTGCTGCGTAGTTGTTGTTGTAATTCATTAATTAAATTTACGATCCTATTCCTATAAAATAAAATAAAATAAAATCTCAAGTGTACAGAGGCAATAAAAAAATGGGGATAATTATGAAGGATGATGTTGATAAGAAGATTTAAATACGAATAAATAATTAAGTTTTTGATGAAAAGTAAAAGCAAGAGGGAATCTGGTAAAGATGGAGGTGACCAATGGTGGAGATGCTGGGCGTGATTTTTTGAAAATATTTTGGTCATTTCATATAAAAAAAGAAAAACCGAGTGGGAGTGTGGTTATCAAGAGGTGGAGTGCCGATATTACCTTCCTAGTAGACCCTTGGGTTAAAAAACCAGACCAATCTACAAAGATCTGGACCTGTCTCTTCATACTGCATGTTTTTTCTTTTTTCTTTTTAATATACACACCACTTTTTGAACAAGATTTTGCATTAATCCATATTAATTTCATCAGTTTTTAACTTAAGCCAGTATTAAAATATGTTTAGTTTTTGGTTGATTACTAAACTCTTTTTTAGATCAAATAAGCTTAAATTAGATAATACTAAAAAATAATTATGATTAATTTAATTATTAATTATTTGTAAATAATGAGAATAAATCCTTGTTCAATACATAAGCTTTGCTCTCCATCGTGGTTAGGTTGTACAGTAAGACCTTATATAAATTCGTCTAAAAGAATATGAGAATGGGGATTAAAATTTTGCTTGGTCATGATTTCTTGTGCTGCCACGTGATTGAACTAAGCCACATTTTATAAGCTCTATAAACAGCTCAGCCATGTTGTTTGTAATGCTGTTCGTCAAATAATTGCAAGGTAATAGCCTTAATTCTTCTAGCGGTAATAATGTTTAGTGTAAATTTCAATTTGACTCCTGAGGTTTGTGTTGATTTCCATGGTTGAACAAAAAAAAAAGAAACATTGACAGAGAAAGAAGAAAAATTGATAAAGTAAGAAGGGAAGAAAAATCGGTAAACTTGCTTCATTGATTTGTTTCTAAAAGAATACAAGTTGTATTTATACTAGCTAATACTAAACCAAACCTTAACTAATTAATTCAATTAACTAATGGACTAAAAACAAACTAATACATGTCATTAATTAATTTGTAAGCTAATAGTTTGAGGGGTTTCCCAAATTCTTCTTAGAAATTTCGTTTGTATCAATTACTCTTCTAAACATTCATCAATGTTTAAATTCTTTCCTTCTATCTATTAAACTAACATAAATAATGATGTAATTTTTTTTATGTTTCAATTAATTTCTTAACGTTTTTTTTTTAAATTAATCATGCATTTTTCAATTATATTACCATTTTTTTTTCAATTAGGATTTTTTTATCTTATATTTCTCAAATTTCTAAACATCTAATGTATAAAAAAATATTGATAAAATTACACCAATTAAAACTATAAATATTACACATTTTAATAAAATAATAACGATATGATACCAAATTACTGTAGCTTCTTGATAAAAGAGAAAAAAAAAACATAACTTGGTATCATTTTTTTATATTTATTCGTTTCCAAAAAAAAAAAAAAAGAACAAAAAAAAAGTGTTAATTGTGACATTTAATAATTAAAATAACAATACTTCCTATGTTAAAAATAACAATTGATGAGACAACTTTTATGAATTTTAACATGATTGAAAAATAAATATTTGATTGAGATTTTTTTCATACTTTCGAAAGTCAATTGAAATATAAAAACTACCACATCATGTGTAATGTTAGTTTAATAGATAGAATGAAATAATTGAAACTTTGATGATAGTTCAAGGAGATAATTGATGCGAATGAAATCTTATGTGAAAAATTGAAAAACTCCTCAAATCTCAACCGATTAAATTAAAATTTTGATGAGACAAATTTTATGAATTTTAATACGATCGAAAGATAAATACTGCTTCCTAATTTTTTTTTCAAATTTTGATGAGATGAATTTTATTTGATTGAGATTGTTTTTTAATACTTTCAAAAGTCAATTGAAACATAAAAAATAAAAAATGTAAGATCATTAGTTATGTTAGTTTAATAAATGAAATAAAATAAATGAAATTTTGATGATTGTTGATACGAATGAAATCTCAAGAGAGAAATTAAAAAACCCCTCAAGTATCAAGGAGAGATAAATTAAAATTTACCCTAAAGTTAAAGAATACGAGGTTAATTAAGTATTTCAAGGATTTAAAACCCTTGGAATCAATTTCATTAAAAAAAAAAAATTCTTTTTTTTTCCTTTTCCCAATTTTATTATATTTTTTTATTAAAAATATATGAGAAATCCCTCAAATCTCATAGAGATTTATCATAAAAGTAAAGAATATGAGATCAATTAAGTATTTCGGGGATTTAAAACCCTCGAATCAATTTCACTACGGACGATTTTTTGTTTTCAATTTTATTAACAACGAAATTATTGATTTTTTTATGGAATAAATTTCCACGATCAATTTACTATTTTTTCCTCGGAAATTTCATGATTGATGGATTTACCAATGGAATTGTAATAACACAAAATTTACCCTTTTTTTGTTTTTATTTTTTATTTATTTTTTATTTTTTTATTTCTATTTTTTATTTTTTACTTTTTATTTCATGTATTTTTTTTTTGTTTTGATTTGAAGTTTACCGAGAAAAAAAAACACAAAAAAAAATTCATTTAGGGACATAATTGAAGTAATTAGGGGTGTAATCAAGTCAATCAAGAAATTTAGGCCCTAAATTGCACATCACGAGGACCCAATTGAAAGATTGTGTTGAAATTATATCACAAAAGGGCGTGATCATGGAAAATTGAAATGCATAGGGACCAAGTTGAATTTTTGAAGTGAACGACGGGATCGAAATGAAGAAAACGACTCGTCGTTCACTCCAATGGAAATTCTCTCCGAAAATCTTTAAGAGAATCCGCCCAAATCCTCCACAAATTTCTTATTTTGATTGTGCATTAATCATGGATTCGTTGCCAAAATCAATACCAACATGAAGCAATGACCAAATTTTCTGTTTTGATTTCACATTAATCATGAATTAAAGAGGAAATATCTTGACGGAAAAATTCGGGATTTAGATTCGATTCTATAAAGTTTTTGACTATAAAACGAGTTTAATTTCACAGAGAAAGAAAAGGGGAATTGAATTGGAGAGGAATTCGGGTTGAGAGATAGGAAAATCTAAGCAAAAAAAAAAAAAAAAAAAGGTTGATTTTCGATTTTTTTTAGCAATCAAGTTTTTTGGGTTTTGGATTGAAGGTTCATATTTCTAGGTTTGTGTTCTTTAACTCCGAGCCAGTTTGAAGCATCCTTAACCTTGATTCGAGAAAGATTTTGGTTCGTTAGGGTAGAGGAAAGGAAATCGAGAGTAGGATTTCAAGAAATTCGTGAGAAACTAGTATTCTTGGTGCTCGCGTTTCTTGGTTTTCTTTGAGTTTTTCTTGGCTCGTTCTTGATACTCTTTCCGTTTCTAGGTCGGCTCTCGGGTTTGATTCTCCCGCTTCTAATTTCGTTGTTTGTTTTAGTTTCAATTGTTGGCATTGTTATTTCATTCATGTTCTAAATGGTGGTTTATGTAATTGAGTTTTTTTCCTTTTGAAAAGGGTCCTTAATTTCTGAAAAAAATTTGAAGAAATAGAGAGAGAATAAGAAGATTTAGAAGAACAGGAGAGAAGGAGAGTCTTTAGGGTGTTTGATCCGTTTTTTGTTAAAAATGTTCACTTGGGCCTGTTTTCGGGTTAAAGCCCGCCGAGAAAAAAGAAAAAAGACGCACGAAGCTGGATCGATTTCGAGTCCAGCCCACCTTTCCTTAAAAAAAAAAAACGAGGGTTGGATCGCCAATCGCCCCTTTATCCAAACAAAAAAAAAGGGGTCTAGCCCGTAGCCCACCTTTCAAAAATCCAAAAAAATAAATAAAATTAAAAAGGAAGCTCGGTGCCATTCCGACCTTCTCTCTCGAAAAAAAAAAAAGGTAATAAAGAAATAAAAAAAAATAGAATTAGGGAAGAAAAAACAAAAGAAAGAAAGAAAAAGGAAAAAAGGATGGGTAGAAAAATAAGTTGTGAGTTAATGATTTAGGGATATGATGACTTCTTTTTTTTTTTTTTATTATTATTCATTTTTTCCCCTTTGCTATCATTATTTTTTTCCCATGTTTATTTTTATTCCTTTTCATTTTTTTTTCTTTTCTTATATTAAATTAGAATTTTTACTTCAATTTTTTTTTTTTGTATTGTTAGAAAAAATTATAAATTTTTTTTGACAAAGTCTCTTTTCTTATAGGGACCGACGTCACCAAAAAAATGCCTAAAAATTTTGACGAAGCCTCCTACATGGTAGGGACCGACGTCATCAAATAAATAAATAAATAAATTCGACGAAGTCTCCTATCTAATAGGGACCAACGTCACTAAATTCAAAATTTTTGACGAAATCTACTATTTAATAGGGGCTAATGTCATCAAAAATCACCTTTTAATTAAGACGTCCTCCAACACGTTGGTTGTGTCAAGGCTTTTAGTAGATCCGATGTTTGAATCGACGTGTCACCCGATGAAGAGGATCGACGATCGTTTCAATATGATGCCATGCCCAAAACTAAAAATTCACTTAGTCTAAAAAGCATAGGAGTTTTAAAAATTAGAAAATAACTTGACATGAATTTTAGGAGATGAATTTAGAACTAAACCATACATGGTATCTTTTTTCGAAAATGACGTTTTTAGGTGATTAAATGTCTTCCTAAGAGCGTAACCAACTCCTTATCTTAGGAATCTCTAAACCAATGTTACTTTTAGGTTTCTAGTTCTTTAAATACTAGGTGGCGACTCCAAAACTTCGTAAATAATTCCGTCAATAATTAACGCTCGGATTTTAATTTCTTTAGGGAGTCCCGTCCGACGTCGAGTCTAGTACTACCGGTGGAATATAATGCCTGTAAAAGTCAGTTTTTTGGTACAGAAGATTATAGAAAGCTCAAAAGTCAAAACATTTTAAAGCCATATTTTGATATCAAACGGTAGCATGATACAATAACTCCAACAAAAATTCCTGCTACACACCCAACCACTCCAGCCTGTGCTGTTAAGGACCACAACATCGTAATACATTTTTCAACTCACCCACAATTTCTCTTCCCAAATAGGGTGTTAATGATAATATACATGATTAATTATTAAATTGCACAATATTTCAAGATAAATTGTAACGTTACTCTTGAAATATTATCAAATGAATTGTACAAGATATCTAATGAATTTGAAATTTAACTATGTGATAGGTTATTAACTTTAATAATATTTTAAATCAAGACCGAAGTAGATAAAACTTCATAAGTCTACATAATATTTCATGTAACTTATATAATCGGATCACACAAACCTGCTTATACGTAGACAAATATTTGTGATTTCACAAAGAACAACTAATTTTATTTCAAAAAATATTTTTCCCACCTTGTTAAAAATTAATAGCTTTTACCAAGATATGCCCTCATAGCAACCAGAGTATGCATTTTGAGTGTATATATAAATTAATTTGAAATTAAAATATGATTTAGTAATTCTGAAGAAATAATTTTTTGTTTTTCCAAATCAAGACGCGTGCGTCATCACACCTTAAATCAAGAAATGATGTTCTGCAAAAGCCAACCATTATAAATACCAATGGCTATTATAATAATAATAATTAAAAAAAGACATTTACTATAGCTTGTGGTTATTATAAAACAAAACAAGTCTAGCAGAACAACAGTTATCATTTGAAGGAGAAAGTTGTTTTACACAATACTTTTAACGATTACATTTGACCACTATAGAAAAGCATCAATTTAAAACTTGTTCAGTTTCAGTGGATGCAATGGAATGCGTGATAAAGAAGGTTATTTTTTTTAATTACAAAACACATTTGAGCGTGTGGTTGAGGCTGAAAGCAACCTCAACCACACTACTAAGGGATGCACTTTGGTCCCTGCTGCTGTATATGAATTTGTTGTCACCACTTTATCATACGAGTTTTTTCCTATGCTGACTTTTTTGTTTTTTTTGGTGAAAATATAAAATTTGATAAAATCATCAAGTAAAATAATAAGTCTACTGACTGACGAAAATGTAGGCTCACAATATTTTCTAAAAAAATCGTGTTATTATTAATAAAATTAAAGATGAATTATTCCATTCAACATCAATAATTGGGACATTTAGATAAATAATAATAATAAGGATCACTCAAAGAAAAGGAAAATTAGAGCAAAAATAATTACTTGGTACAAGAAAAAAACCCACTAATCAATCTTAGATCGAGTGGCGACCAGTAACTTCGCTACCTGGTAAGTAATTTTTAATCTTGATAAGTACTGTTGTCTATTAAATCTTCTTCGATCGATTTAGATCTATGAAATGAACTTCTATTGAAAATCCGTAGAAGCAGAAAAAACTAAAAACAATCGTAAACTAAAAGGAAAAGACTAAGAAGGATGAAAAAAGTTAGGATATTACAAAACAAAAAGCATCATCTCTAAAAGCATAAAGCCTCAATATGAAAAAAAGATATATTGAAAAAATAAGAAATAGATGCTACTGCTAGTAGAGGCAGTTAAAGAAAACGTCAAAAGATATTCAAAACCTCAAATAGAAGAGAACGATGCCACTGTCTGCCATGCCCCATATCTTCGATTAGATATGAACTAGATTGATACCCACTCTACACCTCAGGTTTTTTTTTTTTTTTGAATAGAAGTCTGTTTGTTACACGATAAATGATAGTGCATGGCAGAGATGTTTTAAAAAGCAGTTGTTTATTGATTGTCTGCTTGCATGATTGGTGGCAACATAGCACTAGCGAAGTTACAATTGATTTTCTCCACATATATAGATAAGCTTTAAAAATTTCTGTAAGTTAATCTGACTTACATAGAAAGTAATTATCATCTTTCCATAAAAAGAATAATTTACTGAATTGCAGAGTAAATATACGGGAATGAAGATTTAGATCATAACTAGTACGTTGCCCGCGCTATGCCACGGTTCCGATAAAACAAAATTATTTTAAAATTTTAAATTTTTTTAATTATAATATTTTATTTAATTTTTTTAATGTTTTTATAAATTCTCTACTTAAGAAAACATAAATCATTCTTCTTTACGAATTGATCTATATATATTTATATATTTAGTAATCAATAAAATTAGCATAAAAAATAATATTTGAATAATTGATTAGTTCCTTTAAAAAATTATTTAAATTATATCATTCTAAATAAATTCGTTTTATAATGTTAAAAAAATATTCATAGTAAATAATTTTTTCTATGTTGGAAGATGTATAGTTAATTTTTAAATTTAGTGATCAATAAAATTAGCATAAAAAACAGTATTTGAATAATTGGTTGGTTCCTTTAAAAAATTATTTTAATTATTTTATTTTAAATAAATTGGTTCTATAGTGTAATAAAATATTTATAGTAAATAATTTGTATTATGTTGGAAGATGTATAATTAATTTTTAATTAAATCAATGATTCAATAATTTTTTTTATACATCTTTACCATAATTTTTTTTATATGTCTTGACCATATATAGTAAATCGAGACAAATTATTTGAAATATGATTTTAACCTTTTAGAATAATATATTTATATATGCATGCAACTATCATGTAAAAATTCTAAGAATTCATAACAAATATTATACCAATTTATTATTTTTTTTAAATCACGTTTTAAAATTTTATTCTAAAATTCAGACATAGAGAAAAATAAATTATATAATATCAGTAAATAAAATTTCATATAAAAAATATTAATTGGATGAGAGTTTCTATAAAAAAAAATGATAAATTCAAAGAATGAAATTTAAATAATAAGAGTCATATAAGTTGAAGTATATGTTAATTTTAAAATATAAAAAGATATATTATATAATCATCATTTTGTGTGGAAAAAAATTACAATTGATTTTTCAAAATTTTAAAACCCAATTAAATAAAAAAAGAACATAAATTGATGAAAAAAATTAATTTTTCAAAATTTTAACACCCAATCAAGTAAAAAAAAGAGAGCATAAATTGATGGAAAAAAAAAACCAAAGGAAAAAAGAGAGAGAGGCATATGTAGTGCATCAATTAGGAGATTAAAAGTTTTATTTTAAATTTTTAGCGATCAAAATGAAATAACTTAAAAATTACATAAAAAATGTAAGCTACATTTTTTTTTTGGGATCAAAATGAAATAATTTAAAAATTACAAAAAAAAAAACCTAAACTATAGTAGAACAATGATTTACTATTCATATATCCCGAGCGTTGCTGTAGGGTGAGCTATACAACGTTTTTATGTATTCATTCATGTAAAATACAAAATTTAAAAATAATTATTTAAAAGCATCATGCGAAAAAATAAAAAAAAAAACCAGAACATATATCTCATATTTTTCTATAGGGTTAACTAAACGAAAAGTCTACAAAGTTGAATAATATAAAGTTGCAAATTAAATATTGTTTCATATAAATATGTATTTTATTAGAAATATGTATAATAACTGATAAATAAAATAATGATGTGGTAGTTTTTTGAATTTTAGATGATTAATTTTTACCATATATTCTTCATCCGTAATTTGTTAATAAGATAGAGAGACCACCTAAATTAAAAAGACAAAAACACTTATTCAAATCGAGAATTTGGCAAAAAAAAAAAAAAAACAATTGAGATAAAATTACACACGATAAAAATTAAATGATAAAAAAAGTAAAGATTATAAAAGAAGGATCAAAATAAATAAATAAATAACTTTCACTAAAAGCAAAAAATAAATAAATATAAACAATAAGACTAAAAAAAATCATTTTGCATAAGGTAGGCACAAAAGTAAAACATAATAGAATTTTAATGACCAAAATAAAAAAAAAATTACAAAATAGAACCAAAAAAACAAAAAACTTCGAATAGTGAAACTTTATTTAATTTTAATGTAGAAAGAATAATAATCAAATACAATAAAATTTCAATGATCAAAATAAAAGAAAGACCACAAAATAAAAAAGAAAAACATAACAAATTTTTTTACTAAAGTTAAAAAATAGTTCCTTTTGGGGAAAAAATTAAATATAATAAAAATTTAATGATCAAAATAAAAAACAATTACAAAACAATGACTAAAACAAAAATAAAATTCTAATAAATTTAATGGTCAAAACAAAGAAAAAATACAAACAGGAATTGTAATAGAAAAAAAAGTTTCACTAAAAGCAAAAGAGAAAAAAAACGCTTAGGTCAGTGAAACTTTATTTAGTTTTAGTATAGCAAGGATAAAAATAAAAAATAATAAAACTTTAACGATCAAAATAAAAACATATCACAAAATAGGAATAAAAAAATAAATTTTAACTAAAAGTCAAGAAAAAATATTTATTATAGGGAAAAAAATCAAATATAGTAAAATTTTAATATTTATTACGGGAATAAAAATAAAAAATAATAAAATTTTAATGATCAAAATAAAACAAAATTATAAAATAGGGATTAAATTAAAAATAAAGTTTATGAAAAGTCAAAAGTGTAACACACGGAAGATTCTAAGTTAGAGCATGCGTCTGCGAGGAGTCGAACCTGAATGCATTGTTTGAAAGGCAATTATCCTAACCACTGCACTACAAATGAGTTCTTGCATTTGAATTACAAATAAATATATATATATATATAGAAAAACAAATGTGAACAGGATCATGAACAGTCAAATACCCACGCCTTTTAGAGTCTTAGTAATGTGAAACCAGCTCATTCTGTTTTTTTTTTTTTTTTTTTTTTTCACATGAACTTTAAACAAATCACCAGCGAATGCTCTATTTAATGAAACTCAACCCTGCAAGAAATATAAGAGGTACATAATTTTGCACCTCACTAGCATTACATGTAACATCTTCAATAAACTATAAATTCTGGCTATTTATTTATTACTAAAAATGGACTCCACACAATCTAAGTTTGAAATCATGAAAACAAAAAAAATATTTAGAGATCAACCCAAGAACTCTGAGTGGTTTCGGGGTGTGGAAATCGGAGGTGGGAGCGAGGTTTTGAGAGAATTGCAGCAGGTTACAAGTTTGAGTGAAGGAGATGCTGGTGTTGGCTTGATAGCTACAAAGGGTAGTGGAAGGGTAGCTATTGGTGGCAGAGGGTAACGATAGGCTAGCTGTTGGTTTTAGATGGCGATCAACTGCTGGGGGACTGCTATTGGGAGGTAAGGCAATAAGAAAATGGATTAATGGCTGTGAGAGAGCTATTCTTTGGCTGGGTGGTGGAGCATACTGTGGTGCGGCAGGTTATGGTGGTGATGGGTGGCTGATGGTTAGCATCGGGCTATCATAGATTTGGAAGATGATAATTGGGGGAGAAGAGCGAGAGAGGAGAATTGAAAGAGGAAAAGATAGAAGGACTGAGTGAAAATTAAATGGGTGGTGCTTGCTGGGGAAAGATAAGGATGAGAAAGGAGAAGGAAGGTAAGGATATGCTTGGATTACTAAACAAAAAAGAAGTTGGAAGGAAGAATGGTCGAAAGAGCCCCCTCTTCCGATGGTTGAAAGAAAATTATCGAGTAAAAGAAGTAGTCCCCAAGACAAAGCATTAAATGCTCCCTAGGAAAAGGAGGAAATTGTCGAAATGCCAAAAAATTAAGGAAAAAGAGACCAAGCAAAAGAGGGCAAAAGGCAAGTTAGTAAGAGGACAAAATGACATTCAAGCAATTACAAAAACCATAGGAGTGCACAAAATCAATGGCAACATAAACAAATGAAAGAAGGTGTGGAATAATAGGTGGAAATGAACGATAAGCAGAGAGCCCAAGAGAGCTTGCAAGAAACGAACGACTGAAAGGAAGGAGAATAGTGCACCACAGTCAGTCCACAGTTAAATGGGTGTTGATGAACAGGAACCAAACTGTGAAACCATTACCTGTTTTAGTTTCTTTTGTAATTTATGTAAAAAGCTTGGATTCGATGAATGTCCTGTATTTTCCTTAAACCTTACATGTATGGACTGAAGCATGCTGTCAGTACATAAGAGTATAACATTCTTGTAAACATTTATCATTCCAAGATTCTCTAGTCTCGTGCCTTCGTTGGTGTTTATTCCTCATGGCCCTAAAATCTCATATTACTGTTAGAAAATGAATCAACTAAGAAAGATAGAGTAGAAAGATACGAACAATCACATCACATAAAAATTTAAGTGGTTCGATAATTATGCCTATATTACGTTTGCATTAGAATTTTTATCAAGTGATAATTATAAATACAAGTGATATTGTCTCTATTTATGGTGTGAAAAATAAAAAATATAATAAAAAAGATCTAATATGCCGATACATCTAGCTCAAAAATCTACGGACCTTTACTAGTCTAAATGTTATTCTAAAGATGATATAATCTTTGAATTGATATGGTTTATGGAAGATATGGGACATTCATCGAATCGAAGCTTTTTATGTAAATTTTTTTATTTTTTCTTCAGTTGTCTAGCTTTATAGATATAGTAACTATATTTATTTATCTTTAAATAATAATCAAAGTTTTTTTATATGTTTCTAGATTTTTAATTGCATGTTATTTAATTGTCTTTGAAAATTTTTAAAATGTTCAACATATTTGTCTTTCTAATTAAATTTTTTGACTATGAACAAATTTTTGATTGAAATGTCCTTTCGTAAAATGGAAGAAAAAAAAAAAAAAAAAAAAAAAAAAAAAAACTTAAAATGACAAGACCTGCATGTATTATTTTTGAAATCTTCAAAAATTTTTTTTCAATCAAAGGCATTTCAGTTAAATTTTTTTCATCTAATATAAAATTAATCGAAATGATAGATTGAACGTTTCAAATATTTTAAGAAATAAATAAAATGTAATTAGAAAACTAAGAACATAAGAGAGACTTATATATATATATATATATATATATATATATAAGCTACAATCATTATCATTAATCCATGATATTGAGGTTATCAAATCGTATTATACCAAATATTATCAAATATGAAATTTATTGTCTTAGTTGGCGTTACAGTATATTATTGCTTTGTCTATAATATTACACACACGTATTTGCGTCATTTGTAGCTGAGATTTGGAGGCAAAAGTAAGACAACGCAAACTTCAAGGATGATTTGTTATCATTTTAATAAAAGTTTTTATGATTTTTATTGGTTTTTAATACCTGTTTGATAAATTTTAGATACAACAATCGACGAAATTTAGTGATAAATAAAATGAAAAGGGAAAATCTCGAACACAAAATCTCCGAGTACCAATCATATGAAAAAATTTTAAACTACTCACTAAAGAGGATCTTGTTATAAATCTATTTCAAAATACTTCACAACAATATGATCTAGTCAAAGTCATTATTCATCCATGGGACCAACAAGATTATGATTATGAAACTTGAGTGTTCATATTCTGACTCTCCACTCCAAATATTATTGTCTAGGAACAAAACTGATAAACAAGGCCATCAACGAACAATAATCTGCTAGTCAGGTACTAGTTTAGAAAGAATCTATAGGAAAACTTAAAAAAGCCCATGCCCATAACCAAAATTGTTGACACGAGGAATAGTAGAAGAAACACTAATCTCAGGTTTTGTCTCAAAATTTCCGATCGGCCCAAAACCATTTACCGGCGAAAATGGCAAAGAATTAGTGGACTCTATCAAAACCTTGCCGGCTTCTTTTGTTACCTTCTTCTTTAACTCCTCCAGTGCATCCCTCAATTGTTCTAGTTCATGCAATCCTAGTTCTTCAATAGGAGCTTCCCACCAACACTGGCTTCTACTATTTTTTCTCATTTGGTTAAGTGTTTCTGAATGCCTTTTTTCTGCCTCCAGTTGATTAAGAATCTGAGTTAACTGCATATTCTGCTCACGAACGTTAGCATTACGATGCGCTTCGATGAGTAGGTGAGTGCCAGAACTTGAAGGAGGTGGGTTTCGTATAAGAAATCGATCCATGATAGAATCAACATCAGGGTGGCCAAATGAAAAGGCCTTTTGAGCTGGGGAGAAAACTACTATTGCTATGTCAACCCCACAAAGAGTGCAGAGCTCACTAGCCTTCTTGAAAAGACCAGCTCGTCTTTTAGAGAAGGTGACTTGTAGATGATTTTTCTTGGGTATTTTTTCAATCTTAATCTTTTGGCGACCCATGCTAGGCTTTTTATTCACCATTGCACTATGTATATATCAAAGAAGCAGAAATACAAGACAAAATACTTGATTTAATTTGGAATTGTGGGAGAATGCTTGGAGGGAAAATTACTTTGGGTATTTATAGGCTAAAACATTCCCTCCAAATTCTCCTTGGGCAAATAAATGTCATATGAGTGTCTTAATTTTGTATTTCCTCATATGATTAATCTCCTGATTTGGAGGTTATGTAATCTTATGCTTTAATTTTATATTTACCACTAAGGAATCAAATATGTATATTTTGGTTAGTCATGAAGAAACCATTTGACATTTGCAACTCAATGTCAACAGTTACCAATCGGAATCCATTTCTACTTAAAATGCCACTGATAATTATGTGATTAATGATTTCTTAATTGAATATGTAGGTTACTTCTATGCAAGCATCATTAGAACGAAATAAATGGTGTTGCTAACTCAATTAATCATTAACGACAAACAACAAATTCACAAGCAATAACATCCAAATAAATTTCTTAAATAAATAAATAAAATAGCTTGAAAAAAATGAGATTCAATTTTGAAAAAATTTCATAAATAAATTAAAAAATTAAAAATCCAAATAAATTATCCCTGTACTAATAATTTAAAAACTTTTCATTTTCTTATTTTTTGAACATTATTTCGTAGCAGTAAATTTATTTTCAAGTTTTGAAAATGAAAATTTATTTTGTAAACTATTTTTTGGTTTAAGAATATGATTTTTTTTCCTTCTTTTTTGGTTGATTTCCTCGTGGGGGCTAATTTTGAGAATTTTCAATTTGACCCTTGAAATTTTGAATTTTGCATAATAATTCGGCATGTCATATTTTCTCTTTGATCCTTTTAAGTTTAATAGTTTTGAAATTCAATCCAGTAGTTTTATTTTATTTTATTTGACACCTCCTTTTAGGAACTTCTAATTCTACCCCTGAAAATATTGGCAGTATCTAATAACGATAACCAAATGGAATGTCTGCAATAGTATTGCTGATCGATCATTCTTTTTTCCGGTACAAATGATTAAATGAAGAAAGCACCGACCTAGCTACAAACGAAACAATGCTTATATATATATATATATATATATATATATATATATCATCAGCATCCAGGACTGGTCGTCTAAATTATGTCTTCGCTTATAATACGTACCTCAGGGCAACAGGACATGTATTCCACGCTTACCCCAAGCAAGAATAAAGTTTATTCTTTTTTTTTTTTTTGTATCATTATCTCCCCGCCCACACCCCCCCCCCCCAAAGTCGACAGCTGGATACTGATAATTACCGACAATATATGAATAAGACTTTCTGAACCTGTAGCAAGCTATAACACCTTTTTTTTTAGGGTAAAAGTTGCCCGCCTTTTCAACTTCATTTTGGACAAAACGTAATTAGCTCTAGAACAAAACTTTTGGAAATTGCCTCCCTCAACTATGTCAATTATAGTTTTAAATAATAGATAATTAAAAAATTGTTCGCAATTGTCAGCATGCATCGCAACTTTTTACAATATTAAAATAATAATAACGAAATATTTTAAAATTATTAAATAATATAATAGTCATTATTTAAAATTATGATTTTAATAGCTTGATATGATTTATAATTTTGTTAGAAGACCATAGTAATCAGACATAATTCTATAAGATAGGTTTGATGGTCAATGAGGTTTTATTCCTCTTTTGATTTCGTGAGTTTGAACTTTAATTAAAATTAACATATAAATGATTTATATTATTTAACTTAATACACTGGATAGATATGATAAAAACTGTTTTAATAAGATTCGTTGGAAAGAAAATTTAATAGAGTTAATGCACACGCTATTTTGAGTATATTTCCGAACATTTTCTTTTTAAGCAAACATTCTAATTAGTAGTTATAATCGTACAAAATTTGGTCATGGTGGCCAAAATTTACTCTCCTTTGCGGTAAACTAAATTTATTGCATCGTATCTTAAGAAATCCTTTAGGTAGATTCGATTTATCTCATCAGCATTAGACAAAATGAAAAAGTTAACAATGATATCAATAAATTAATTATAGAAAGTGACATTAACGTCAAACAACTACGAAATTATAGTATACCTCACTTAGTAAATGAGAATTTAAGAAGATCAGGCAAACATTTACTTTAGGAATTTGTGGTAACAGTAACAGTATGTCCCATATCATTGTCAAGGTTGTTCATCAGACACATGATTAGATATATACTAATCATCAGATGCAACCAGATTTGGAATTCTGACCTTAAAGAGACGTGACGACTACAAGATGATAAGCATAGCCTAAACTGACGTGGATGACGCCCCGTACAGCATTTATCCAGACTTTCAAACTCTCCTAATTAAAAAAATCCACGTCCACATCCAAGATTATTATATCCATATTGTGGCAACACCATATTTGGATTGAAACCGCCTACCTTTCGATCATAAGGAAAAATTCCTCCACCGGAACTTGAAGCAAAAAATTGTGGAGGAGCTGAACTTTCAATTAGTAGTTTTTCAGCTTGCTTCGTCACATTCTTCTTTAGGTCTTCTAGAGATACCTTCAACTGCTCAATTTGAGGCGACTTAAGTTCCTCAATGGGAGCCTGCCACCAGCATTGACTTTGACCAGCCTTCTTCATTTGGTTAAGCTCTTCTCCACGCCTTTTCTCCATCTCAATTTGGTTTAGCACCTGGTGCAAAATAAAATAAAATAAAAATAAAAATAATTGACCATTTTTATCACTACTAAAGCAGAATACATATGGTTCCCATCGAACGTTTCAATACAAGTCTGCAGTGCATGTATAAATCACTTAAATTTTTTAAAATTATTACATAGACTTGATCCGTTTGACAAAACAAAACAATCACATTATGTGAGAAATCATCAATCTCTTAAACCCTTTTGATTCATATTTAATATGGTTCATGCGTAGTAAACTCTGGGCAATAATGGAATCCATAACGTGTGCCTGACCAGACGTCGATGATCTCACTTTTGCTACCTTTCCTTTAGATGCCGTCAGAATCCCTAGCTACTGCAAACCATGAAATTAATTATAAAAAAAAAAACACAATACATAGACGATCATCAATATTTACATACCTGGGTGAGCTGCACATTCAGTTCACGGACGGTGGCATTTCGATGAACTTCAAGAATTTGCATAGCACCTGAGTTTTGAGGAGGGTTTCGAGTGATGTAACGGTCGATGACCGTCCCCACACCAGGGTGGCCAAAGGAGAAGACCTTATTTCCAGGAGAAAAGACGATGATGGCAATCTCAGCACCACAAAGAGTGCAAAGCTCGCTAGCCTTTTTGAAAAGTCCGGACCGACGTTTCGAAAAGGTTACTTGGAGATTGCTTTCCTTCGACATTTTCACCATCTCCACTTTTTGGCGACCCCTGCTCTTTCTCACCATGGCTAAAGCTACAAAATTAATTTCGAAAGAAAGAAAGAAAAGAAGTGATGTACTGTTTTGCTTGGAATGAAAGAGCGGCATGCATGAGTGAGTATTTATATAGGAGTTTACTGGTTGAATTATTCTTTTCTTTTTAATAACTACAGGTCGGAATGTTAAAAATCAAGCTGTTCCTTATTAATCATCATCTTGGTGGCAATTTTAGTGATATATCAAGTTAATTGTTTACTAGTTTTGGAAGCTCCAGAATCTCCTTACGATCCACATACATGTTATTGCGTCGTGAATCCTCGGTAATTTTAGAGTTACGTCATTCTTACAATTGCATGACATGTAATCGGGAAATTTCTTGAAAACTAGTGGTTTCTCTCGAGTTTTTTTTTCCGGCCCTCCTGCTTTCATCGATGAATAAACATTGCCCTTTTTTGTGTATGGATTAATTAGCAGTTGCCAGATTGCCGGCCAATAAGTAATTACCTTCCAATGATTACAATTATAATTAACTTGTAGCCGCTGTATCTAAATTTTCAATATATTATCTTCTACACCAGCTTTTGTTTCATAAAGGCAGACTTATTCAAGCAAATTTCATCATAAAACATAACTTCGAAATTTTTTTTAAGAAAGTAAAAAAAGATACCAGAATCTATTATAGATTTCATACGTAATTTACTTCGAATCAATATCCAGTCAATAGATAAGAAATTAATGAAGAACAATTTTTTTATATATATTAATAATGAAGAGTAAAATTAAGATGCCACACTTAACATTGGCAAAGTAATTGAACAATAAAAAGGGAAATGCATTGACATAATCACCCTGCACATGAATAACAATTAACAGTCAAGAATTGGAATTACATCCTTTCAAGTCTGTAAAAAAATTATTTCCAGCCATCTTCTAAATCTAACTATTCATTTTGAATTCAATAATTTAAATTACGTGAAAAAAAAGAAATTAAGTTTGTTACCATTTTTATCATATATTAAATCATATCCAATGTTTCTGATTGAAGTAACATGATAGTCTGTTTCTTATGCAATCATTTATATAAATATATGTATAAATTGTACAATTAATTAGAAAATTTAGTACGATTTTGTTAACAAATATAACTTATCACGTTTTCAAGGACATTGGATCAGGAGGTCAGATCTCATATATAAGACCTTTCAATTTGTTTCTATATCTTGTCCAGATATGTTTATTTAAGTGCATCTGTACACCTATTTTTTCATACGAGAAATGTATTCCGGAAACAAGCATCATAATAATAATAATAAAACGTGTTGACTGTTGGAGATTGCCAAATTCAATTACTATAATTTGGTTAAAAAAGCCGACATTCTCGACCATGGATAAAAAAAGATACAAAGAAAGAGGAGGTCCAAATGGATCAGACTTCTAGGACTAAATGTTACAAATTAAAGTCTTAAACAACTTTCTTATAATTTGGTTTCAACAATTCAACTGGGCCTTGACCGAACAGACCATCTGTAATTAATTTCACAACCTCTTTTTAAGAATAACAACCCTTGATCGATATTGTAATCTCCAAAAAAATTCTCAATGTTGTAACAATGGCGTTCATTAATTTTGGTTTTCCTCTGCAAATAGTGAATCATTCTTTTTTCTTAAGAATAAAAGTATAAAAATCCTTGCACTCTGATGAGTCCGAAATTCTTGGATTGTTTGAACAATTATATATATATATATATATATAATCGTAAAGTAAAGATTCGTCCTTATCTTGACAATCTATGATAAGTATATACAAAACAAGTCATCTTCTAGTATTTAGAGGATCCTTCCATGACTAAATTGGTGTACGAGATAAGGGTATTTGATCCGTTAGACTTAATAGTATATCTTTTGACGAGTTTGACCTAAATAGATTTAGCGAGTGTGTTTTATTATATTTATAAAAAATATACGGTACCAATATATATATATATATATTAGAGTTAGAAGAACGAGACCTTTTTAACATTTGTTATGTTAACTTTCATATGATGGTAGAGATGATCAACTTGCATGAACAACATATTTGTCTTTCTCTTAAGAATAAAGGGTTTTTTCTTACCATGCAAAGGACTATGACTAGATTTTACGTAAATTGAGAATACTCATATGTAAATATTTTGTGAGTACTTGGTGCTATCATTTTTTGCGGTGATATGTGGGGTGACGTTTTTTATTTAATGCTTGTCCTTTATGTTTCTTTCCAATAGATGAATGAACTAAAATAGAAGCGTTATTGATGAGATTGGTTTGGGGGTTCTTTTGGAACGGGGTTCTATGTATGTATACTTAGAGCAAGTCGAGCTTTCTTCACGGTTGTGAGGGATAGGTGTCGGGATGTGTTTTTCTAAGCATATCACACTCGGATGAAATTTTTTAACAAAGAAAATGTATTTTACAATGACAATAATTTGGTTTGGTGGACAATAAAATTATAATGAGAATTTGAAAAATCTTAATAGTGTAATCTTAGGAAATCTCTTAATATAAGGTAAACAATGATGTCAAATTGATTTTCCCCAACTATACGAACGCCTCATTTTTGTATTGCGAGTCCGATCAATTAATGTGGTAATATTGCAATACAATTTCGTTATAAGTATTTTTTCACCTTCTTCAAACGTAGAACAATGTTGTTGTTTATAGTATTTAAAACGTATGTCATCATGTGATTCTTTCTTTCCTAAGGTTAGAATCTATAAATTGCTCTTTTTATTATGTTATTTTCACTTAGACGTTCCAACTTGACCTAGAAATTTAAGGTTAAAATACTTATAGCTATAGACGACTACATCTCTCTCCTCATATTGTCGACCAAATGATGTTTGTTTATGGTTGACACATCTTTAGAAAGAAAAAAATCTAGCCTAGGATGATGAACAACCTCCTCTCCATCCCTATTCCATTTAGTATAATAGTCTCTAAAAATATTTTTCATTGAGTATTAGATGGACTCGAGACTAATAACTATAATTGATACTTGGAGAACGAAAAAGCCAATTGCCACCTTTTTTCTTAAATGTTTGGAGGGAAGAACACTCTCGTTAGGCAAGGGAAAAACCTCATGATCGAGGAAGAGACAACTATTAGTGCGAAGTAGTAACCATATCATTAAACGAATGAGATAGAGGTACAAGCACGGGTATGAAGGGAAATCTTAAGGTGCGCTTTGAAAAAGCTTCATCACTATTCCTAGAAAAGAGAAGTAGCAATAGGCTTAGGAAAAAAGGAAAGTCCTAAACCACCGAGTGCTTCCCCATGAAGAAAGCCTTGTCTTAATGGAATCTACTCTATTTAAAGAATAAAACTTGATGAATGGTTAACTTCTAAAAAAAGAAATACACATAAAAAAAGCAAGTGAAGCTGAAAAATAGACAAAGAAAATTCGGATAACTACTCCGCATGCATTCGACCAAACTCAACTTCGAGCAAGCATGTCGATAACAAAAACACCTTTTAACATCCTTATCCGACTCCAAAAAGAAAATTATTTACTAGAAAGAGGAGGGATGTCATTACTAGTCGTCTTAAAATTCTTCTAAAAATGTAACTTCCTTATATGGTCCAATCCTCTTAACGGAGGGCTAGTCCTTTGTACGGGATAATGAATCATTCTCCCCACCAATCACTAAATAGATTAGCACCCCTAACAAGGGACCAAACTTCTTGAAAAGAGGATTGTACACATAAGACTGTCTTCTTCTCTCTATACCTTTTTCTTTTAAATAAAAAGAAAATAAGAGAAGTCTTAAGGATGGAGATATCTACAAATAAAGACAAAAGTTGACAAAAACCAAAAATACTACTCAATTGAAAAGAAGTTGCCATAAACGTATGCCAAAATGGTGAACTCCTTAAAGAACCTAGAAAAGGGGAGCCTAGCTCCATACTCCATTATACAAGTGTGAGAAATAATCACTATATTTCCACCAAAATCTTTATAAGCCACTAACCTCATTTTATCAATAGAACATAAAATGACAACATAATAGTTTGACCCTAAAACCACCAAAACTCCAATCTTGTTACAAGCCACCATGCTATGACCTCCATCATTTTCTATTAGTAAGAGCCTAGGTAACCCAGCAAAAGAAGGGACCAACCTCATCCACCGTAAAATGAAAAACTCTTTTCTACTAGGATTTAACCCTCCAACATTAGAGTCAACCTCCTCATCACTAGGAGTAGTACTTGGTACCTCCCTAACTCTTGTTAAGCCTTATATTCTTTAAATAAATAAGAAGAAAAAAAGTATTACCTATAGATATTTCAATAAGTATGACTCCAAAAGAATATATTTTCCTAAAAGAGGAACACAATGAAAGAGAATTGCCAAGGTTTTGCTAAAAAAGGAAAGAAATATGGGTAACTACAAACACTCACTAAAGATTGACTCTCACCAACTCGCTGGAAAACTCTCACATAAGCGAGACAATACAAGTTAAAGACACTAAAAAAAGAAGACACCTAGTGGCTATTTATATAAGTGAAAAAGCGGGAATCCTTCGAGCAAAGATACTTTGAGGCCCAAGCTCTATAGACACTTTTTTTTTTTTCCTAGAGGCAAATAGAAATAAGAAGAGTTCTAATGGACCCCAAATGCTTCATTTCCTATAAAATCTCACACATATGATCGATTAAACTTTCCATATGAAAATGCAATTATTATAAGCTATAAGTATTTAATGAGGCTATCACACATAAACTATTAGAAAATATGAAAATAACAAGTAAACAGTTGACACAAACCTAGAATTCACCGATGATTAGTTGGAAAATAGTCATTAAATGATAATAATTTTACCAAGGATTACATAGAGAAATAGTCATCAAATGATGAGAATTTGCCAAAAAGTACCTTAATGAAGTTTGATTTTTCAACAAGGGATACTCGTTAAAGACTTAGGGGGCTACTAACATATCCGAAAAAAACAAAAATACAACCTAACACATGTCACTCACAAACTAAGAAAAAA